TTCTGTTTGCGACGTGGCGACGTGGCGACGTGGCGACGTGGCAGCGAGCGGTATGCCAGGGCAACAATTCTTGGCCCTGATCGGTATGGCGGCGATAGTTTCATGGGTTGGGGTGGTAACACACCTGAATGGCGAACTGATTTGGTTAATGTGAATGGACATTTGACTGGCCATCGATATGCTGCGTCCTAGCTGCCGTTGTTCCATTCGCTGGAATTATCGTCAGCAATTGCACAATGACCACAGCGAGCTCAGGACTTTGAGTTGGTCCGCTAAGTCCCTGACATGTCCCCAGTCTGTAGGATGTTCTCGTGCGGAGAGTGTATTGCAGAGACCAACGTGGCCCAGCTTGCGGTAGCTCTTCAGGTGGAATGGCGGGCAATACCAAAGGCAACCATACCCATGTTTATCCACAGTATGCCCTCAAGATGACGTGCATGTATCGTCCAAATTGCTGGACACACCAGATATTGATCTATCCGGCCGAAATAACCTGTCAGACATTTATGGTCATTACACCTGTTCTACGTTGTGTAGCATTGGACGGTCAGAAAGAACACAGAATAGCTTCAACTCCAGACAATACGTTATTTAGTCATCATGATTTAACTTTGAACCCAAACTGTAAAAACATGTTCAATTATAATAAAGATAAATAATTAGCGTGGAATCAACTAACAGCCCGGCCTGGTTAGCGTGTAATCATCTAACACCCCGGCCTGGTTAGCATGGAATCAACTAACAACCCGGCCTGGTTAGCTTGGAATCATCTAACACTCCGGCCTGGTAAGCGTGGAATCATCTAACAGCCCGGCCTGGTGAGCGTGGAATCATCTAACACGACGGCCTGGTAAGCGTGGAATCATCTAACAGCCCGGCCTGGTTAGCGTGGAATCATCTAACAGCCCGGCCTGGTAAGTGTGGAATCATCCAAAAACCCGGCCTGGTTAGCGTGGAATCATCTAACAGCCCGGCCTAGTAAGTGTGGAATCATCTAACAGCCCGGCCTGGTAAGCGTGGAATCATCTAACAGCCCGGCCTGGTAAGTGTGGAATCATCTAACAGCCCGGCCTGGTGAGCGTGGAATCATCTAACAGCCCGGCCTGGTGAGCGTGGAATCATCTAACACCCCGGCCTGGTTAGCGTGGAATCATCTAACAGCCCGGCCTGGTGAGCGTGGAATCATCTAACAACCCGGCCTGGTTAGCGTGGAATCATCTAACAGCCCGGCCTGGTGAGCGTGGAATCATCTAACACCCCGGCCTGGTGAGCGTGGAATCATCTAACACCCCGGTCTGGTTAGCGTGGAATCATCTAACAGCCCGGCCTGGTGAGCGTGGAATCATCTAACAGCCCGGCCTGGTGAGCGTGGAATCATCTAACACCCCGGCCTGGTTAGCGTGGAATCATCTAACAGCCCGGACTGGTAAGCGTGGAATCATCTAACAGCCCGGCCTGGTTAGCGTGGAATCATCTAACAGCCCGGCCTGGTAAGTGTGGAATCATCCAAAAACCCGGCCTGGTTAGCGTGGAATCATCTAACACCCCGGCCTGGTAAGCGTGGAATCATCTAACAACCCAGCCTGGTTACTGTGGAATCATCTAACAACCCGGCCTGGTTAGCGTGGAATCATCTAACACGACGGCCTGGTAAGCGTGGAATCATCTAACAGCCCGGACTGGTAAGCGTGGAATCATCTAACAGCCCGGCCTGGTGAGCGTGGAATCATCTAACAGCCCGGCCTGGTAAGCGTGGAATCATCTAACAGCCCGGACTGGTAAGCGTGGAATCATCTAACAGCCCGGCCTGGTTAGCGTGGAATCATCTAACAGCCCGGCCTGGTAAGCGTGGAATCATCTAACAGCCCGGCCTGATAAGCGTGGAATCATCTAACAGCCTGGTCTGGTAAGCGTGGAATCATCTAACAGCCCGGACTGGTAAGCGTGGAATCATCTAACACCCTGGCCTGGTTAGCGTAGAATCATCTAACAACTCGGCCTGGTTAGCGTGGAATCATCTAACAGCCCGGCCTGATAAGCGTGGAATCATCTAACAGCCCGGCCTGGTTAGCGTGGAATCATCTAACAGCCCGGCCTGGTAAGTGTGGAATCATCTAACAACTCGGCCTGGTTAGCGTGGAATCATCTAACAGCCCGGCCTGGTAAGCGTGGAATCATCTAACAACTCGGCCTGGTGAGCGTGGAATCATCTAACAGCCCGGCCTGGTAAGTGTGGAATCATCTAACAGCCCGGCCTGGTAAGCGCGGAATCATCTAACAGCCCGGCCTGGTAAGTGTGGAATCACCTATTAAACACCCACGCCTCGGTAGTGTGAAATCACCTCACACCTCAGCCTCGGTAGCGGGAAATCACCTCACACCTCAGCCTCGGTAGCGGGAAATCACCTCACACCTCAGCCTCGGTAGCGGGAAGTCACCTCACACCTCAGCCTCGGTATCGGGAAGTCACCTCACACCTCAGCCTCGGTATCGGGAAGTCACCTCACACCTCAGCCTGGATGATTTATATTTCCAGAAAGCGGAATTTGGCGGTGTATCTGACAATATTATCCAATCATATTTTCCAAAATGGTATTTTTCCAAACCATTGATCATCGGGTATAACCATTATATACATGGGAAATAGGGCCAAGTCGGATAATTATAGTGCTATTGCATTGATGAGCGTTTGCATACGTGATTTTGAATGGAGAAATAATTTTCATTTCTTTACCATTTAAAATGTAAAACCTAGTAATGAAATGTTAATCGGAAATAAAACAGAAAATTAAAATATTATCGGTGTGTTATGTATTTTCTTGTGCTACGGTACAGCTAACCCCTCCTGAAAAAAAGCGTCGTCCACACCGATGGAATGTTGTCATGATTCGAAGTGCGGCGCGTGAGAAGGCCTCTTTGCAACAGATCAAAGCAACAAACCGCGCATCGTCAGAGTCCCCCATTATAATGCTTCTCTCTGTAGATTGGTTTACAAAATAGTTATCGGGGTCGGTTTCAAATTAATTTGCAGTCGTTGAATGACAATTTAAAACATTCGGCAAACGTAACAAACGTAACTATTTATCTTCTTATTGTAAACGCCGCCTCCGTGGTCTTGTGGTAGAGCGTCCGCCCGGAAGGTCCGGGGTTCGATCCCCGGCCGCGTCATACCAAAAGACGTTAAAAGATGGTACTTGTTGTTACCCTGTCTGGCGCTCGGCATTAAGGGGCTAAAACAAGGACTGGTGGGCTCGGAGTCAGTATACTGTGTCTGAGTGGGGTATTCATGTTAAACTGCGGCATGGTATCTCAGTGAGCTAGCACTATAAATCGGCATCAGTCCGGACTAGTACAAGCAGCCACACACACACATAAGTGCAATAATCTTGGACGCGACGTTAAACCCAATTTCACCTCACCGCTAATTGTAAACCAATAGTTAGTGTGACCGCAATCTGATTGGTCACCCTACCTCGTCGATTACCCCATTCTATTCCCACAAATCCACATAAGCCTTTTAACTGGATATGAATAAATAAACGGTACTATTTCTCAAGCCAAGCCCAAATGTCTGTGTTTCCAAATGTTTCGGCATCGGTTTCAAATGAATTTGCAGTCGTTGAATGACAATAACAATCGGCAAAAGTAACAAACGTAACTATTTATCTTCTAAACATCAAACGAAACGAAAAGGAAGATTTGACATACTTTACTGATTTTAAGAAAGTGTTTGATCAAATAGATAGGAACCTACTACTCGAAAAAATGGTTTATCAGGTGAGATATTACAAGCAATAGCCTTATATATGTATATATGTACCATATGTAAATTGTAAAGTTAAAAGCGATAACTAACTGAGTGACTCAGAGTAAAGTATTTGAATGTACAACTGGTGTAAGACAAGGCTGCATCCTCAGTCCACTTTTGTTTTCTCTTTATACTAATGAACTAGTTAATGAATTGGTTGTGAATGGAGATAGAAGAACACAGTTATGCCCTGACTCCATAGACTTGCTGGTTTTACTATTTGCAAATGGTATTCTATTTTTTCGGACACTGTATTTGGACTTGAAGCATTTAGATCATGATAGAGACAAGTTGAAACCTTCTATAAATCCTGTTTAAGAAAATACGGTCCCGTGAAGAAATGTGAATCAGGGGAATTTGTTGATGATCATTTTGACCAAAATATCTTGGAGTAGTTTTCAGCTCAAATCTAAATATGCAAAATTCAGTTGAAAGCACAAGTGAAATGGACAGAAGGGCACTCAATGGGACTAAAGAACAATGAATGACATCGGACTTGTAACCTACCACAGGGATTTTACGATTTTTTTATACGAAGATAAAACCTATTCTTTTGTATGGATCTGAAGTGTGAGTTGCCAAAGGGTTCAATGTTCTATAAACCGAAGACCACAATTTTCAGCTTGTAAACATTTTAGGCATATCACAACGTACGCCATATGCGTTAACTAACATTAAAAAATATCTCTATTGACAATTGCCAAATGTAAAATTATGTAGCTTGTATTTGTGGGCAAATGGCCTTGAATATAATAATATGAGTTGAAACATTAAAGCTGTGTTGTTTTCGTCGGGTATTGTTAGCCGGAAAAATGTAAATTTGCTTTTCAATGGGGAAGATATTAAACCCTCTCCTTGAAATTTATAACAACCATTTCGTGTACACAAAGCCCAGATAACAGTGCACAGAAAACGGGAGAAATACAGAACAAACACAATGAGTGAGAAAAACAGGAATTCCCCGTTTTCTTATCTCTTTGTCGTGCCGTTGTGTTTCTATGCCATATTCATGTCTCCACGAGTCATTGTGTTTTCCCGCCCCTGTGCCATTCCTTTCGCGATTTCGTGCTTGGTTTTTCATGCACTTAATTATACGGCGTGGAATATGTTTTACTGCCGAGTTGTAAATCATTTCATAGTGGTATCCCTTACGTTTGAATATAGAGTTATGTCGCTTGGCGTGTCACGTGACAAAAACAAGCCTCTTGGAAGTGGGCAAGTGATGTCAATTCGACTATGGCTGCCAGTACAACAAACAGAGTCATCGTGGCAGTTTGGGCACTTTTGGTGACCCTATCTGCTGCATCCGATGTATTTGACCATGTTCTCACTGATGTGAAGCCATGTATGGAGGTTTGCGAGAACACATATCCGTCACACACGTACGAGAAGGTTCGTATCACTGATGAAACAGATGCACAACAAAGATTTAGGCTAGTCACCAGTCTGATTTCTCTAGAGAACTAAGTAATCAATTTAATGTAGCCAACGTATGCACAGCTGTTGCAAGTAGGCTAGTGGTTGAATGTGAGCTTATTGTTTTTACACCACTTTGTTATGTGTTCGTGAAGAACAGACTGAACTATTGACCCACGTTTCTATATCATATATATCATATGTCTATGATATACCAACGTGTGCCAACATGACAGATTACATATATCTTGCTCATAGATTAATTTTAGAAGAACCCAGTTAGACAATTAGTACATTGTGTTTAGATGACTTCATTTGTATTTCACATATGTACAAGCTGTTTACGTTTTCTTTGACTTACTGAGACAAGTTATTTATGTAACCAGGGCAAAGAAAACAACACTGAATCTCTTATACATGTAATGGATTCTGTCTAAGTTCAGATAAGATAAGTGATGGGCTGGGACATTGATTGGGTTATAGCTGAAACAGCACCTCGTCAACATGTCACCAATCGAAAGTAGTACCTGGCTTGGTGAAAACAGAAACATATTACCTGGTGAAAATGGCAATGAAATTAAACGTAAGGGAGCACCTTGTGAAATCAGTATCCTTGTCAGGATAATCTCTGCAGCAGGACACATGTCACTGAGACAATTAACCAATATTTTGTGAGAATCAATCAGGAGTTGAACTTGCTACATTTGGATATTAGACTGACATTGGTGACAAAATTACTAACTGAGCTACGTTAACACTGTTGCAGTTAGTGCAAATTTACATAGTCATGCGTAAACAGAAATGAATGGAAAGGGACAAAATGGTGACCGCCACTTATGGAGGTTTCTGGTAGCCATGGTGTCGTCTGACTTCAGTCTACAGACACTTATGAGGGGTCATGGTGCCATTCCGTAATTTACATGATCATGAGGGGTAAGGAGATGGGACACACTGATAAGGGCTCCAGTTATCAGACATTGAGTATGTATGTATGTATGTGTGAATGTCAGGTATTAAATAATTCATTGGAGCACTGTAAAAGATAATGTAGATCATTGTGGGCATGTTAAGGCATTGCTACTGTGTGAGTGTGAGACAGTTTTTGAACCATTTTTGAACCCAGGTTCGATTTCCCACATTAGCACAATGTGTGCAGCCCATTGTTCCTTGCCACATTATTGCTGGAATATTGCTAAAAGCTGTGTAAAACTATTCTCACTCACTCCAGCTGATATATTCAACATGAAGCACTTCATCCCGCTATCATGACCTGTTTGTGTATAGAATAATTAAAATGAACAAGCGCACGATGACAGGTGCAGTGATTTGCATGCTTCAGCTCCCGCTCTGTAAAATGGATGAGAAGACTGTACCACCCTTTCACAAACACAATTCTTATCATTACCTTGTTATACCAAACTAAATTGATTTATAGCAAAAGAAGTCCCATGGTAGATCAGCGCTAGAAACTATTTCTTATAATGATAGCATCTAGCAAAACCCTTAAAAAGGGTAAATTTCAACTAGTCCTTATGAAACCGTAACTATTGAGCAGTTTGGCAAGGACTATGGGACTAGTGCCAGTTTCCAACGCTGTAGCTGGAGAGTGTTTGGATGTTTGCAGTGTCAATATAGAAATACCTAATTAACTGCATTAATGTGCATAATATTGAAAATTACTGAATCAAAACCATTATATATGTAAATTAGTTCCCAAAGACTCCAGTAATCGTGTTAGTCTGACACCTCAGGACACCTTGTCACTGGTGTGTGTCGTTATTTTATACAGGGTTGTAATGTGCTGTCAACATGTGATGTTTGTGGTACTGAATTCTAAAAGTAGACCAACGGTAGATAAGTATATCATATTCTAGAGTTATGGTCAAGTGTACTCATCTTTAAAAAGAATAACGGAAATAGATGTGTGTAGTATATGTGATAAATAGTACTATACGTCTTGCAATCAATCTTCTTCCAGAAAAAAAAAGATAAAGATATGTACAGTAACTGATTTATAGCAAACCCTTGTCTTGGTTATTGCTTGATCACCAAGGATTGACTTTATTGGAAATGTGAAGAATAGGTATCGAGTGGTCTTGGTTTAATTATTGTGGAGAGTAGAAAAAAACAGGTTGTGTTTACAAATTGTGTCTATTGTCATATTCAAGTATTTGGAAGACATATTTGCAAGTATCATGTGACCTCAGTATGTTTGTGCGTGGTGAGACTTTCCCAATCAGGATTAATGATCACTTAGATACAGGTCACTAATGACTGACTAAAGATCAATCATGCAAAGATTCTAGTAAAGAAGTGTGAATGGATTTTTTAGTCAGTGAACATTTCTGTATTCTCCAGGGGTTGAAAAATACCATTGCCCGACGCCCGTGCCAAGTAAGGTTTAGATGTCGGGCGTGTAATATACGTTTTCTAGCATGCCCGTGGACAAGTAGAGCACACAAAATGAACTGGGTCAAGTTTCACGCGAATGTAATCATGTGATCATGTTACGGTATTTGATTGGCTAATATTTTGTTAGTGTCCCAGACTGACAATGTAATTTGCATACAGCTACGCCAGTCAACCAATGGGATTAATACATTTCGATGTCAGGCAGGTCAACAACGAGAACCAGGCTTGTTGCATTGTTAAATCGTAGTAACACTTCCATATATGGCACATGTTTCTTGGAAATTGTAACGCGAGGTTGAAACATTTTCCGACTTTAGATGCTTCGTTAGCCCTAGCTCTGATGAAATATAATTTTGTCGAACTACAACAAACGGAACTTTTAACGAGTGAAAGTATGGCATTTATTTAATATGTGTTTCTTTTCGTTGTCAACTAAAGTTCATTTGAGGCGCTGACCGTGGTTGCTGTAAATAACGGCAAGTTGTGCGATCTATCGACCCCTTTACGCACGATTTCGGAAAAAATCTAAAGATCTAAACTGTATTGAATGAAATTTTAAATAAAATTAATAAAATATGCTACAAACTTATGTCAAGGTACAAACGTGGTTTTTTTATAACCAGATAGTAATAATAGGATTTATACTCGGACCCCATGGTACCGCGGCATTCATCGTATCGCGGCATTTGTGATTTCCGATAGTTCACGCGGGACACGCCTCTTAGCGGCTGTCTATTAATGCAAATCAGTAACCAGGAAGTGCTCACTTCGTAAACAATTTCAATTTCCTCGGAATGTTCCGTCTGCTGTAAGTAAAGAGTTATTAATCCGTTGATACATATTTCTGGCATCTGTTGTAATATTGCCTTACCCCCATCTATCAATGGCCAACGATATAACCCGCAGTTCCCCAAGTAAACTTTCTCTATCGACCTGAATTAGATCATCTGCATATTCATGGCGACTAATGAGGTAACGGAAGTTACGTAGTCCGCACATTTTTTCCCGCTCTGTGCCCAGAATCTATTTGGAGATCATAAGGGCCATAATGCCAAACTGAGAAATACGTTCTTCACTAGTAACCAAAAGAAAAATACATACTTTGGGCATACTAGGAGTGCTTTTCATATATTTATTGTTGACTTTTAACATTTTTCCATTTTGTGACAAATTATTGTCATCCAATTTTTTTTAAACAATCTTAAAATATCATTTCTGATATTTTGATGTTGACTTATAAAAATATTTTTCTCTTACTTTTCGGTAAATATGCATTGAATACCTATTGCTGATAACACATTTAGAATTTTACTTGTGCTGTCTTTGCACTTGTCTGGACAAATCACTGATGTCTGGCATGATCATACCAAGTGGTTGGTAGAATTATGTCCTCTTTTTGTCCAATTCGGACCTACATACACAACTTTTCTCTGTACCGCGATACGATGGAGTTCTCTCACTTGTCAAACAGAGCGCGAGGCCCGGCTTTTACTCGGAGCTACTAATGTAAATAATGAACTTTTATCAGTAAAATATGCATTGTTTGATAACATGAATGATATCTGATACAGAGAACACGAATAAACATAAAGGTTAGTGAGTGCATTTTGTTCCGTTTAGCGTACATGACAAGTACCGCGATACCCCGAGGTTGCAGGCTAATTGCGAAATTTGTTGATTGGTATTTCCGGTGTTGCGTGCAGGTGGTAATGTTTTTGCGATGGGGAAATGACATCGTGTCAGTGACTTGAGTTTACTAAAAGTGTATATAAGTTTTGGGAACCATGTGTTACCGCACACAATAACCGAGTTAGCGCTATATTGAAGAGTGCAATAGCGAGGGATCACTATAAGTAAATCTGTTCTTTCAAATGAGTAAGCTAGTAAAGGACAGAGTAGCCTCCCTTTGCCTCATTAGCACCCGGAGGGGTATCTGCAATAACAATTTATATTGCCAGTACCGCACATGGCCGATCATGTCTCAGCGGTCTATTTTAAGTTTCTTTGGCGGTGGGGACGAACTTAAAAGGAAGGCAGAGGGAAATTCCGAAAGTTGTATATCGGCAAAGAATAAGAAGTATGAAGAATGTAAACGAAAACGAACATTCATCGCTGGGTGGAAAGACCAGTTTCCTTGGGTTGCGTATGATGACACAGCGAAAGTCATGAAGTGCACCATTTGTTCCAAGTACCCAAACATACACGCTTGCAATCGTAAGAGAACGTTTATTGATGGATGTTCAAATTTCAGAATTTTATTCTCAGTTCTGCAGCAGTAACATTTTACTGAATTTATTAGCTAGATTCTGGGCTAGTACATTTTAAAATAGGGCAAGTGAGAATGTTGGTCATACTTGCCCTTGGTCAAGTAACATTTTTAATAATTTTTCAACCCCTGTTCTCTCAGACTGAATTCATCCACTTATTCATTATCCTGTCTTGCAGATAAAAGTGTTCTCATCTCTACATGGCCTTTAACAATAGCAATAACATGTCCCAAACAAGAAATACAAGTGTTAATCATTAATAGAGCTTTCTGTAATGACTTGTCTTGTTCATGTTGGATGAAGCTTTTGTAATAGTTGTATTTGTCTCAAAATGGCTGTGTGATTAGCCTATTACTGACGAGATTAAGAATCACTGTAGAAATTTGTTTAACATTATCAGAATTTGAATTTCATGCAAAGCCCACTTGCCCAAGACAACTAGATTGTGCCGAGGACAAGTGACAATCTACTGACGATAGTCCTCATTGACTCGTAGCATGTGGGGGCTCTAACTCAGATCCAGGTCATAATGCTGCAGGTTTGCTACACAACAACTGAATAAAACTGACAGAAAATATGAACATGTCAAACATTTTTGTCTCATTCAAACATGACAAGCTTCAATGGTTTACACTAGTGCTCTGGACTAATCTTTAAAAATAATTTACTAAGGCTGTTCATTGATTAACCTGATTAAGGAATTGTTTTATAGTAATGCAACTTGTTTGAACTTCAGTGGTGGTGTGGGACACACTGACATCATATGACATAGGCTCCATGAACTGATAGCTTCACAGCTTAGGTCTAGCCATTGATCATATGACATAGGCTCCATGAACTGATAGCTTCACAGTTTAGGTCTAGCCATTGATCATATGACATAGGCTCCATGAACTGATAGCTTCACAGCTTAGGTCTAGCCATTGATCATATGACATAGGCTCCATGAACTGATAGCTTCACAGCTTAGGTCTAGCCATTGATCATATGACATAGGCTCCATGAACTGATAGCTTCACAGCTTAGGTCTAGCCATTGATCATATGACATAGGCTCCATGAACTGATAGCTTCACAGCTTAGGTCTAGCCATTGATCATATGACATAGGCTCCATGAACTGATAGCTTCACAGCTTAGGTCTAGCCATTGAAGATCATATGACATAGGCTCCATGAACTGGTGACCTCACAGCTTAAGGTTTAGCCATTGGACATCATATGACATAGGCTCCATGAACTGATAGCTTCACAGCTTAGGTCTAGCCATTGATCATATGACATAGGCTCCATGAACTGATAGCTTCACAGCTTAGGTCTAGCCATTGATCATATGACATAGGCTCCATGAACTGATAGCTTCACAGCTTAGGTCTAGCCATTGATCATATGACATAGGCTCCATGAACTGATAGCTTCACAGCTTAGGTCTAGCCATTGATCATATGACATAGGCTCCATGAACTGATAGCTTCACAGCTTAGGTCTAGCCATCGATCATATGACATAGGCTCCATGAACTGATAGCTTCACAGCTTAAGGTTTAGCCATTGGACATCATATGACATAGGCTCCATGAACTGATAGCTTCACAGCTTAGGTCTAGCCATTGGACATCATATGACATAGGCTCCATGAACTGATAGCTTCACAGCTTAGGTCTAGCCATTGATCATATGACATAGGCTCCATGAACTGATAGCTTCACAGCTTAGGTCTAGCCATTGATCATATGACATAGGCTCCATGAACTGATAGCTTCACAGCTTAGGTCTAGCCATTGATCATATGACATAGGCTCCATGAACTGATAGCTTCACAGCTTAGGTCTAGCCATTGATCATATGACATAGGCTCCATGAACTGATAGCTTCACAGCTTAGGTCTAGCCATTGATCATATGACATAGGCTCCATGAACTGATAGCTTCACAGCTTAGGTCTAGCCATTGATCATATGACATAGGCTCCATGAACTGATAGCTTCACAGCTTAGGTCTAGCCATTGAAGATCATATGACATAGGCTCCATGAACTGGTGACCTCACAGCTTAAGGTTTAGCCATTGGACATCATATGACATAGGCTCCATGAACTGATAGCTTCACAGCTTAAGGTTTAGCCATTGGACATCATATGCCATAGGCTCCATGAACTGATAGCTTCACAGCTTAAGGTTTAGCCATTGGACATCATATGACATAGGCTCCATGAACTGATAGCTTCACAGCTTAGGTCTAGCCATTGATCATATGACATAGGCTCCATGAACTGGTGACCTCACGGTTTATGGTCTAGCCATCGGACATCATATGACATAGGCTCCATGAACTGATAGCTTCACAGCTTAGGTCTAGCCATTGAAGAACTGGTGACCTCACGGTTTATGGTCTAGCCATTGAAGGTTGAAATTGAAACCAGGTGTTGCTTGACTGAACCACGCTGTAAGCAAACAGATGTTGAGATTTAGTGATAAGATACCATTTTCCATCTACAACCTAGTTATTTATAGATATAGCACACGGCAGCTGAGACTGTGATATGTGTACACATGTGAAGCTTTTTATAATACAATACTGTCCATGCTTACTGACTGCATTTGAACCAAAAACACAACCAGGCAGCATAAGGGTATAGCATATATAAATTACTTCATTCACGACAGGGAAATTATTTGATTTTGTTGAATTTGTTCCAAAATCCAGTTTGAAGACAGACATTTTGTTCTTTCCAGGAGTAAAACTATTAGTGTCCTGATATTTACAGAATAACAATATAAAACATTGTGCTAAAGTCTGCCAAAGGCCTATACTGCCATATAATGAATCAAAACTAAACAATAAGAAGGGAAGTGATCTATTTTATAAAGCCGTATTAAACCCTACATTTATTAATTTATAGTGTAAAGTGTTACAGTAAATGGGAAGATTGTTTTGAAAAACAGTAAACCTGTAGATATAGAGTTGTTAAACTTTAACCTTATGGCAAAAAGGTTTCACAAAATACTGAATCCAGATGGTTTCTGTTTAATGTTATAAATAATATTTTAAGTACAAAGTGTTATTTATTTACATTAGGATATGTTGAATCACCAGTTTGTTCACTATGTAATGAACCACCTGAAAAAATCACTTATTACATTATGTACATTGCCACATTATGTATGTTGCTGATATATGGAAGAAACGTTCAGATTGGCTTGGAAACTATACACAAGGCAAGAGGTAATTTAAGTTCATAAAAATAACAATTCACTCAATGCAGTTATGGTAACAAAATCTGTGCTTCACACGTTTAACAGAAAAGTAAAACCAATTTATTTACTAATTGAAAAAGAAATATTTAGATTTTACAAAATTTATTGCATGTTCATATTATGCATGCACCCATGCCTCCTGGTCTTTACATCTGTTATTTAGAAACCCTGTATAAACTATGATGTATAATAATTATGATAAATGTAACAACTACTCCATGCACACTTTATGTATGACATTGAGATGTAAAATATGATGGGAAATGTAATAAATACATTTTTAGATTTAAAAAAAATCAATCTGGAAGACCTTCAACCGATACCACAAAGGATAACGATGAAAGGGCAAGATCAGAAAGACTTTCCACCACGAGAAATGTTGATAAACTACACGATATGATTATGACTCATCACACGTCACATAGACAATACAATTGAAATCTCTCATGATGAGACAGAGTTGGTAACATTGTGAGGAATGAACAGGGCATGACAGAACTTCCAGCTAGCTTGTTTCCAGGGCTTCTCACTCCTGATTAGAAAAATCCAGGTTCATCATCTCTTGTGAGGTTGGTTTGTTTGTTTGTTTAACGCCGCACTCAGCAATATTCCAGCTATATGACGGCGGTCTGTATATAATCGAGTCTGGACCAGCCAATCCAGTAATTGACATCATGAGCATCAAGCCACAAAATTGGGATACTATGACATGCATCAACCAAGTCAGCGAGACAGACCTCCCGATCCCATTAGTTGCCTCTTACGACAAGCATAGTCGCCGTTTACTGCAAGCATGGGTTGCTGAAGACCTATTTCGACCAGGGTCTTCACTGGTCCTTTTGTGAGTATTTATGTCATTTTGAAGTGGACCCAGCAGAGCTTGTTGAGCAGTTTGTAACTATTGATGACTCTTGGCTTCACGGTGAAGCCTTCACCCCTATATGCCAGATATCAAACAACAGTGAAAACAGTGGGAACATCTCACATCTCCTCCTCTGAAGAAGGAAGTAATCTCTTTTCCATCAGATGGCAGGGTGATGGCTGGTTAACATGTCTATTGAGCAAACGACCTACTCAATATCATGGAAAAAAGTATATTCAGATTCACAAACATGACCAATGTAGTATGTTTGTGTCTTGACTAACCAATGCTTATTTATGGAGTAAAGAGCTGTAAAACAGTCAGAAAATAAACATACTGTGGTATCAATGTTTGGGTTTCAAACACGGATTCGAACCCCTAAATTTCATTCGCAACAACACAATAGCATGAAGTTTTGAAATTGAAATATTTACAGGTATGGAAGCAAAGGTCAAAGCCTGAAAATGAAACACAGTTGGTTTATCTTCTTTCTATCATGACACAGTGACAAAACAAATTGGAACTACTTGGTTACAGAGGATATGATTAGTGATGTGACATTGGTTGAACCTAATATTCTCTGTAGGCTAATGGGCAAATTCACGATTCATTGAAGGGCAGTTTTAATCTGCATATAATTTTGCTTTACGTACCCTCTCTCTAATTTTCACCGTAATACTTGAACCACTTCACTGAGACCTGACATGTAAACATGTAGGCAGATGTCTTGTTAGCATTATTCAAACTGACACCCTGAGAGAATATGAAGCAACCTCTGTAAATGTTTTGTTCTACCCACCACTAGTATGACATCAGAAAGTTCTACAGATAGGAAGTCTAAGCTTTCTTATGCAGTAAACTGACGTATTTGTTTGTGAAGTTGCTACACTTGCTGTAGATAAAGTAGGCACATCTGGTTATTTAGCAATGTTAATGAATGTCAACAGAGGATTCAGAAGGGCTTAGTTGGCTATTTTACTGCTCTCTAATCTCAACCAAATCATGTATTCATTGTATCCTTGTCATATATATGCCCTGGACACAAAATGACCTTACAAAATGTTGTGCATGATTTGTGATATTTTTTATTGTGTATGTAGTTACTGTTGTAATCTCTGTCAGCAGGGCAACCACCATGAGTGCTGCAGGAGGGGGTGCCGCTTCTACTCCATCATGGAGTTCGTCAATGGAGGCGAGGAGGTCAACACCACACAGAAGGAATGTATGGGATGTAAGTCAATTCATTCTTGCAAGCATAGTCACATCAAAATAAGAAGATGATAATTTCAGTGTGTATTCTGGGAAGGCTGGATGTATTCTGAGTAGGCTGGATTTATTCCAGGTAGGATGGATGTGAGTGAGTGAGTTGAGTTTAACACCGCTTTTAACAGTATTCCAGTTATATTGCGGCGTGTCAGCTTAATGTGGGAGGAAAGCCCGAAGTGATGCAGGTCTCAGACATTTACCATTTCGGTGAAACCCACGAGCACGGGTATGGTGCTGACAAACCTAGAAACATAATCGGGGCGAACAGGGATTCGAACCCACAATGATAGGTTTCTGGAGTGTCCAAGGGACGCAACTCTGCACAGCGAATTGCGGCGCCTTAGACGACTGGGCCACCCGTGCCCCCCCAGGATGGATGTATCTGGGTAGTTGGGATGTATTCTGGGTAGTTGGGATGTATTCTGGGTAGTTGGGATGTATTCTGGGTAGTTGGGATGTATTCTGGGTAGTTGGGATGTATTTGGGTAGTTGGGATGTATTCTGGGTAGTTGGGATGTATCTGGGTAGTTGGGATGTATTCTGGGTAGTTGGGATGTATTCTGGGTAGTTGGGATGTATTCTGGGTAGTTGGGATGTATTCTGGGTAGTTGGGATGTATTCTGGGTAGTTGGGATGTATTCTGGGTAGTTGGGATGTATTCTGGGTAGTTGGGATGTATTCTGGGTAGTTGGGATGTATCTGGGTAGTTGGGATGTATTCTGGGTAGTTGGGATGTATCTGGGTAGTTGGGATGTATCTGGGTAGTTGGGATGTATCTGGGTAGTTGGGATGTATCTGGGTTGGCTCGATGTGTTCCTGGTAGGCTGGCTGTATTCCGGGTAGGCTGGCTGTATTCCGGGTAGGCTGGCTGTATTCCGGGTAGGCTGGTTGGCTGTATTCCGGGTAGGCTGGCTGTATTCCGGGTAGGGTAAAGAAGAATTAGTAAGCCCTGCACAAGTAGGAATATGTCAGTACCAAATTACAGATGGAATAATTGCTCAGTGAACCTCTGCTATGAGCTACCATGTTGAGTACGTAAGCTCAAGTGATTCATGATCAAGTTGCAATTCTTTGTTTCTGTTTACTTTTCTGCATGTTCATGGATGAATCCTGTGCAGATGTAAATGTTGTTTGGAGTAGGTTACTGACAGCTAGATTGTCCCTGAAAATAGTCTTATATGTTTTGCTCTGGTAGTTTTGTTATTAGTAAAGATATGTCTGGTGAATATCAGGCAGGCAATTGTTGTAAGTGGGCTATGGTATGTGAAGCTGCTTGTTGATGCTGCTGCTGAGTGTTGATGATGCTGCTGCTGTGTGTTGTACAGGCTGCAAGGAATCCTACCCCGCGGAGGCGGACTATAATGCCTGTGCTCTGGGATGTAGAAGTCAGACACCATTCGCTGCCAGAAGACACCAGGTATGATGAGTGTCATGATACATAACACAGTGAGCATGATGAAGTCTGCATGCCTGGAGTGAGGGCTTGATCAATATCAGTGTATTGATTACTCAACTCAACTCACATACATGGTGTAAGGAAGTAGGTTACGACTGCACAGTCCTGTACATTGATCACTTGTAGGCCAAATGTCCACAAAAAGGCAAACTAATTATTCTGGCATTTATAGCTTCCCTGGACAAGCCCAGTGGTGAATATTTACATTCAGAATGCATGGATTGTTTTGTTTGGTCTGTTTCATAGTCAGGTACTGATCAGAAATTATTATTTTCCTATGTGCTCAAAATTTTATGCTTCTGTAAGATGAGAAATAAATTTCAAAAGGCAACAAAAAGACAGCTGTTTTGCTCAGTTGACTGATAGTCACATGGGCGTATGTCATGACTTGTTTGACCAGTTTCGTGTAAACTTCGCATCTATAATGACCTACAACATCATATAAATGCTTTTTGAGTTTATGTTCTTCTACACATATTAGTAGAGGCATTAACCAAGTTTTGTTGTTTAATGATATTGTAAATGTCAATGTTTTTATTGCAAATCGGTAGCACAAAACATTGTCCCTGAAAGTGTTGATATTATAAACACACCTACATTACAGATATAATGCTTATGCATAGACACATTTGGAAATGTTGATCCACAGTTAAAATCAAGTCATACTTAATTGGCTTTTCTGTTGTTGTCTGACAATGTCGGCACCAATGATGAGACTGTGAAAGGGAGATAACCTATGTATTTTCATTGTCATTAATAAGTAAAATAATTTTTTTTTTTATCATCGACATGTTCAACAAGGACATATGTGTTACACATTATACCATGACTCAGTTACTATTTCTGTAAGTATATGTTCTGGTGTTGACCATTATTATAGCGGGTGACCCATACAGGAGCAGAGCACTGTCTCAGGTTAGTGTTGTTTGTTGCAGCTTGAGAGTGAGGAGCCCAGCATCCACCTGCTGTACCCCCTGATGTACGTGCACAGTCTGTACAGCAACATGATAGAAAAGGCCTACCACAGCATGACGGTCAGCTGGTCACTCTACATGGAGGCCGACAACGGCAAGCTGGTGGTCATCAAATCCCAGCCTCAGTTCTACACAGAGTTCAATGATGCACAGGATCTCGATGGTCAGTGTAACTGATAGTTGCTCCACAGCTGATGCTGAGAGATGCTGATTGTCAGTGAAGGGCATAAATACTGTATTCTCCCAGTTCTAAACATATTTGCTACCATGAGTTTGGAAAATACTTGATTCTGGTTGGTTACAAATCACAATAACCATCTCTCATATTATGGCCACTATGAAATGTTTTTTGTTTGTTTGTTTGTTTGTTGTTTTTTCATCGCTCTCAGCAATATCCCAGCTATATGATGGCAGTCTGTAAATTATCAAGTCTGGGCCCAATCTCATTAAAATCAGATCTTAGTTCTCGCTGCCGCCAAAGAAAGATCTGAGGACATCCCATTAGGGGTCACGTCAGAACGACCTTTCATCTGACCAATCAGAGCGTCACTTACCGGATCATAAAAGTGACGTTCAGAATGTGAATTCTGATAATGCAGCATCGAAAACATTAACATGCGGTATTCCGAACGATAGTTACGGGTTTAACGACTGGAATAGTAAACATGCATCCACCAAATCAGCGAGCCTGACCACCCGATCCCGATAGTCACCTCTTACGACATATATGGGTTGCTGAAGATCAATTCTGACCCAGACCTTCACGGTTCTAAAGGTTTATTAATGACAAGAGAACATGTATGTCTTTATCATTGGGCTTTTCAGTGATGTGCTCATTGCTATTGAATACAGTAGTTAACTGACTGCAACATATCTAAGGCACCACAATTCGCTGTGTAGAGTTGTCATCCCTTGTACACGCCAGAAACCTATGATTGTGGATTTGAATCCCGGTTCATCCCTATTATGTTTCTAGGTTTGTCAGCACCATACCCGTGCTCATGGTAAACTTTCTAATACCTGCATCACTTCAGGCTTTCCTCCCACATCAAGCTGACTCGCCTTGGTAGAACTGGAATACTGGTCACTCACTGAAACATATCTTATGAGACTAATCTTGTAGAATTCACAGAATAGTAACACCAGGTGTTGCTTCTTTCAGATTACAAGGGAATGAACTCTGATGACAAGACGGCTAACTATCTGGAGATGAACATCGAGCCCATTGATAATGCTGCCACGCCCAACCTAAAGCACTCCCAGCTGAGATCTGCCCGTAGTTTTGAGGACAGCCTGGGCTTGATGTCAGATGACCGCAATGTCAACTCAGACTGGCTGACCTGTATTGCCAGGAAGACTGGCATTCCACGACTCCTTCTCTGTCTGCTGATTCTGTTCTGTGCCATTGTAATGATCTGGCTGTGTCTTACAGCAGCTGTCACAGCCCCAGAACACAGGATACACACCCAGGTATGTAGCAGCTTCAACTTAGGAGCCTGTAAATCAATTACAAAGCATGTTTGCAAGGTTTATGCATCTTTTGGGATCCAAAATTATGTTGTTTGTTTGTTGCTGAATGCTGCACTTAGCAGTATTCCAACTATTTATGAAGATGGTCTGTAAATAATCAAGTCTGGACCAGACAATCCAGTGATTGACATCATGAGCTTTGATGTATCAATCAAGTCAGTGAGCCTGACCACCCGATCCCGTTAGTCGCCTCTTACGGCAAATATGGATTGCTGAAGACCTATGCTAACCCGGATCTTCAGGGGTATTATTCTTAGCCATGGGTCCCCAAATTATGTAAACCATGTACTTTAATGATAATCTGTCATGGCAGCAGAGAGTAAGGTATTGATAAGCCAAGGGAACAGTCATATCAGGTACTGCAATTAACACCAAGCTTTGGTGGGAAGTCTATCGCATTCCCTGCACTGTGTTCATTCAGAGTCCATCTCCTGCCATGTTGATGTATGTTGCAGAAGTTGAGCATCAACGGGGACCTGGAGTATCTTAGGGAGATGGTGAAGCAGGGGAAAGGCATCCAGGTCCTCCACCCCCAGGACCGGGTAGAGGCCAGCCCCCTCCCAATAAAGATACGTGTAGAGAGGATATAGGCTTCATCAAACTGGCGTTGACATGGAATGCATCATGTTGAGAGTGAAATACAACACCATCCTCTTCCTTGCACTAACTGTTGATATCTGTGTTCATTCTGGATACATCAGGAGATATATAACGAGCAACGCCACCATCTTCATCATCAACATTATCATATATGTCGGGGATGTATAACATTGGGGTATTAGTGTACACAATGGCTGAACTGTCACAATTAACAATGGTATCTGGTACACTTGAGACAGTGGTTACATTTTGGATATTTGTCTTAAGGAACATTTCACAATTGACTTATTTTCATATAATACAAAATGGTGATGGAATAACTGGATTGATGGTTAAGTGATTTCATAAGATTGATATCAAATTTGGATGATTTATGATATAATATTATTCATTCAGTCCTGATTCTAGGAGATCACAGTTGATAACACACATGCTTGAGAATTCACAAGTAGATACTGTCTTGTGTCTGTAAAAAGAAATCCAGTGAGTTATGACTTAACCCAATCCTGATTTTGCGCTGAGCTCTATGTTCAAAGTGTCCTACAGAATTTGGTTTCAGAGAACATTGAAATGTCAACTGAATGAATGATGAAGTGTTTTCAAGTAATGTAATCTGTCAGTTTTGTTGACTGTGTTCTCCGTGTAAATGGTTGTATATTTAATTCGAGGGATACCTGGGCTAGCTTCATTCCATTGATGTAGGAATGTCTTCACTGACAAATGTTTTGGCAGTGTTACTGAAACGATGTGATGCTTTTTTTTGCTATTTTATTTTCTCTTAAGATCTGATTTGAGAAACAGTTCCCTGTTTGATAATACTAACACTGTACATGTCTTTCATTATGTGACTCTTGCACACATGCTTTGTGAGCTGAGATTATGTTTTGTTTTTTCTCATTTAACTGTACATAGCAAATTGCACAGTAATTCTTACAATTTATTCTTTAATTAGCATCTGCCAAATTACCCTAAATCCCCAGAAAAGATCTTCACCGAACTAATTAGTGATGAATTCAAATAATCCACTTTCACACTTTCCATGCCGTTTGGGATGCCACTACTGGGAACTTAAAAAAAAGCCATCCTCAAAAGAAAGCATCAAGGACCTTGATTTGAGGATTTATGGTACTGGTGGTTGGAATTTGCTGCTTTAACAGCCTGTGATTATTTTCTTTGGTAATATGTAATATTATTCTGTAGTATTGTATTGTGTAAGACAATTGAATGTTTATGTATGTGGACGACAACCCTCAATACATTGTGTAGGATCCCCCTAGATGGTGTTGGACTGTCAAGGGAGACACCAGCATGCTACAAACATCAAACTGATTTCAGAAATTGTTTCCTGCATAGATAATGATTTTCTCACTATTAATGTGTCTTCATGTTTTCACACGAGACATAATAGAGTGCTTATTTAACTAACACAGATCAACTAATTGAAATAACAGATTTGCAACTAATTTCAAAATATGTGTGTTCTTTCTGTTAAGTTCCACATACCCAGGTATCAGAAAATGTTTCAAAATACTTTAGACACAAGTCCACCTTGGTATTATTGTACAGCATAGTAAATGTTGCACATTTGTCATGGGAAATTATATGTTAGGGGAAATAAAGGGTTTATAAATCAACGTGTGTTTGGTTTTTGTTTTACCTCACCAGGTTCATGTGAGCTGTTGTCATCGTACACTACCATTCATCCATCTGTCGTAAGTTGGCGTTGGATAAAGGCTGCTTTGAACAGGGTTTCACTTCAGGAGTCATTTTAATGTGTGAGGACGGCCCACAGTGATGCAGGTCTTCAACATTTACCATTATAGTGAGATCATACAAGCATAAGTATGGTGCTGAAACCCCCAGATAACCATCAGGGAGAACCTGGAATTTGAACTCATCATTGGACCCTCCTAGCACACCTGTGGGGCACAACTAGCACAGCAAATTGACTTGATTTGGATGACTGCACCTTTATATTTATATATTATATATATATACTTATATATTTATATTTTATATTTTTCATTATAATCCCCATCCACATTGAAACACTTTTGTCAACAATGTCGGAGGGATTTTATCCCACTTTAGTAGAAATCCTTCTATTGGCTGTCTAGGCCATGGAGGCCATAACCTTTCCAGCGGATAGGACATTCTTGACTTCTTTGGTGGCGATAATGTCAAACGCTTCCACAGTTTTGGTTGTTGATCAGCTTCAAACTGGTAGATTATTCTGGTGTGGGTGTTTTTATCAGATGTAAGAAGCTTTGGAACCAAACGAGCAGATACTTTCTTCATTCCCAAAGGTTTTGTGATAATAGAATGTAGTCTCTCCTGGGAAGTGCTCACAGAACCAGTTAGCAGTCATTCAGAGGTTTCACAGTGATCAATTTGCTCATTATGTCTCCCCCAGAATGGAGGGAGACATATTGTTTTTGGCACGGTTCCCGTCGGCGTCGGCGTTCCCACCGTTTCCGGACCATAACTCAGAAACCGTTTAATATTTTTCGCGAAACTTTGTATACACATTAACCCAGCACTGAAGTGGTGCCTTTTGCTATTTAGAGATTTTTGACATTTTTATTTTTTCTCGTTTCCATGGAGATAACTTGAACATAGACTCTGAATGGGGGTAAGCTTGGTTTCCGGACCATAACTCAGAAACCGTTTAATATTTTTTCGCGAAACTTTGTATACACATTAACCCAGCACTGAAGTGGTGCCTTTTGCTATTTAGAGATTTTTGACCTTTTTATTTTTTCCCGTTTCCATGGAGATAAGTTGAACATAGGCTCTGAATGGGGGTAAGCTTGGTTTCCGGACCATAACTCAGAAACCGTTTAATATTTTTTCGCGAAACTTTGTATACACATTAACCCAGCACTGAAGTGGTGCCTTTTGCTATTTAGAGATTTTTGACATTTTTATTTTTTCTCGTTTCCATGGAGATAACTTGAACATAGACTCTGAATGGGGGTAAGCTTGGTTTCCGGACCATAACTCGGAAACCGTTTAATATTTTTTCGCGAAACTTTGTATACACATTAACCCAGCACTGAAGTGGTGCCTTTTGCTATTTAGAGATTTTTGACATTTTTATTTTTTCTCGTTTCCATGGAGATAACTTGAACATAGACTCTGAATGGGGGTAAGCTTTGTTTCCTGACCATAACTCAGAAACCGTTTAATATTTTTTCGCGACACTTTGTATACACATTAACCCAGCACTGAAGTGGTGCCCATAAGTTGTTTGAAATTTCTAGGAGTTCTATTTTTGTCTCTGTTATTTAGTAATGGAGGGTGGGAATGAAGAGATGGGGTTTAACGTGAAGTAGACGAATGAATGGGGGTTAGGGGAGTGGGGGGGAGACATATGTTTTTACGAGTAAAAACACTTTGTAGTTTGACTCCATTTTTGTGTGGGTATACCTGTGTGACATGTAATGGTCACAACAAGAGATTTCACTATTATGCAATTCATTCGATGCCATGATCAGGACTTTTGAGTCAACCCTCGTACTTGGCACCAACAAAAGGCCCTTGGCATCCACAGAAATATTAGTGCAGCAGCACCAGCCTCCTGCTGAGATCATTAGATGTTTGCAATATATCCATGTTGCCTTGTCTAAATTGCCAGAAGTTGCAAAATGAAGTTATGTTTTACCATAAAACATTTATCTGATTAGGCTGTCTGGGGCCCAAAATCACAATCAGAAAATATATAAAAATACTGTGGTAGAATAAATGATTCTCATTTGCCCAACCACTCCATCTTTGGTGGGGAACTATTTTAACCCAAAGTTTCATAAAGAATTATTTGAAGGTTTATGAGTTATGCTCCTCAAAAGAAAACACTCATTTGAAGAGAAGTCCAACATGTGTCGCCTTGGAAAGACAGAACAGCAAATATTTAAAAATGCCTTAATACCAGGAGGCAACGAACCCTACCCTCCTTTGAACCTATGCTGACTTGTGAAATGCGAAAAGTATGAATTTCCAGAATTCCTGAAAAGCAAAAGGCACCAGTCCAGTCCACTCCAGTGCCTGCCTGGTGGGTACACCAAGTTCTGTGAGGAAATATTGAACAGTTTACAAGTTTTGCTCCAGAAGCGTAACATGAATAGACAGGTCCTGTTTCTATATCCCCGTCAAAACTGTTTGGGTGGGTGATAATATATGCATTGTACAATTTGAACAAATCTGCACCAGAAGCATATATATGTACACATGTTCCAGTTACAATACTAAACATCTGCACTTAAAAAAATATTGGCATGAATCATATTGTTTCCCACTAAACGGAGAAGAAAACAACTTCAAGATAAGCCCCATTATTTTAAGGAATGGCAAGTTACGACGATATTCTCCTACTTAAAACACATCCCTACTTTGACAAAACACATCCCTACTTTGACAAAACATTCTCTGGTGGTAAATATTTGAAAAATAAACCAGAACGCTTTATAAACTGTATTTATACAGTCTGTCAACCTTGCGTGACGCAATGCGTTCTCTGCCGCTGGTGCTCGTTCACCAAGCTCCGTCGCGAGCTGATATTTACAATGCATGGTACACGGCTCTTCATTATTTCGTGGGGTCCTTAACTAGTATTTTATTAATCATTTGCACGTTGTAAATACATGCAGTCTGGGATTATGGGAAATATAGAACCCTGAACAAGTATATATATATATGTTTACCTGCATTTATTTCTCGTCCAAGGATAATCTTAATTGCTTTAAATGTGAACATTGTTACAGGTAACCAGCTGTAACCCAACATTATATATAAGTATTATTGTTTTAACGTTTAAGGATTATGCAAATATTTGAAAACATTTAATAGTCAATTTCATACCCAATCGTCATGTGTCTTTCTTTTTGTAGGGGTCCTTCATATCAAACGATGCGGGTTCAAACCTCATTCACTTGTCGAAATAAAAACAAATAGTTCTGTCTATTTATTTCCAGTGTAAATTAATTGAAATATTGGTTCAAGATGATGTATAAACAACTGTCCATTCCTGAAAAATATTGAGCGTTTATACAATTCAATGACGTCATAGATGTCTCGATATTATGTTAATAGTGTGCAGCTTATTTGGCATTTAATGTTTCCGTTTGAAAGAAAAAACTTATCAAATGAAAGAGTGCTAATAGTGCCTTGATAGCAGGGACTGCTAATTACTCGTGTAATTAACCCAGGGGGTGCCCTAGTAACATTGCGACCATGCAGGAGTGCATCAGTCAGCATACAGGTGAGACGGCTGGGTGTACTGTATCATGTGCAAAATGCCTATAAAAAAACATCACTGCTGTTTTTTTCTCTATTGTAAAATGCAGGGATGTGAGCAGGTTTTCCCGAAAAAAGAGGAAAAGTCTAGGGGGGTCTGGGGGCATGCCCCCCCCCAGAAATTTTTAAAACATTTGATTGCATTTTAAGCAATTTCGTGCAGTTTGGACAACATTCACACCAAGAAAGGTAATAAGTCAATGGCCAAAGTCAATAAGTCAAATAAACAAGATGGCAGATGCAGTAAAATTTCGAAGTTAAATCAGTACTTTTATAAAATTGGGCATAGCTTTCGCGCACCTGGCTACCCGCCAGGTCTGGGAGCAATACTGCCATAAACTTAAACCCCCATCCCCCAGACACAAGGACAACTGTCACAAGCGTGCAATGTCTGACCCTTTCCCCATGTTGAAGCATATTGAAAAAAACTTACCTTGTACTTACCTTTTGATGAAAAAAACAAAACTCCATTGCAAACATAAGACATTAATACAACATATATCCCCATGACATGGGGTTTTGGACGCTGAAGAAACATTCATAGTTTTCTCGCTTATCACATGAACAACTGTAAAACATCTCATTCACTTACAGGATTAAAAGACAACTTTATCTTAAAAACAAGCCATCAGCTGACTCTGAGTATTTACAATTTCTGTGTGACGCCACACCCCACGTTATAGTGCAAGTATTCGTGACAGAAAACGTATGATGTCCGAAAACCTAAGCTGTGAAAGCTCTGATCGAAAACAGGACAATCCGCGCCAATTGTCCGGTTTTCGATCATATTTTTCGGAGTGTTTTTTTTTTAAAATTTATTAAATTTTTACGCGGAAGATGTTTTTTTCCCCGAGGACTACTGTTTTAAAAAACGCGATTTTCCGCGTTTCCGCGGATATTTCACATCCCTGAAAATGTTTAAGAAGCATATAGTAACACTCCCAATAACAATAAAATAAGCTGCTACATCCTTTGGAACTGCATCTGAGCCTGCCCTGAATACGAGGCATAATGTGGTCTGACGATGATAGTCACCAACATATTACAGTTCTTGGGGTGAGAACACCATTTTTAAGCATGCCATATTTTGCACTTCCTTTTGATTGTCATAATTAAACATATTAAGAGTTGATACTTGATATAAAATAAGATTCCCAAAACAGATGAAACAGGCTGAAATTACTCTGATAGTCAATTCTTTTTCAAAATCTTTGTTAAATAAGAAACAGTGAAAAAATTGAAAATTTATATGACCGGCGTGAAGGGAATTTTTATTTGACAGTACACCTGAACTTTATACATTGGTATACATTGTGTATCTTCCAAATTACAAAGTAAGATGTAAACCTGGTTGGCAAATTGGGAAGAAATTGTAATGTTCAAAATTGGATTTTTGTTTTTATTAAAGCTCTTATCATCATGATCATAACTGAAGCCTCATCCTCCTTATTGTTCCAATTATAAGTGAAATTCAAGTCACACCAGCCAAGACATCACATTTGTGATCACAACCATATTAACATGGGAAATGTTTAATTCCCACCTGGAACTTTGTCCTGACCGTGACATTTGCTACAGACTTAGGGCAGAATATTGTTCTCTGAACAGGTCCAGATCTAACTAGTGATATTTGATATCCATGTTTGACCACAGATGTACCTAGTTTAGATTTGTCTTTGAAATAAGGAGTTTGGTTTAAAATGTAATCGGTAAAGCTGACAGCATCCATTAGTTGACAGTATTGGAGATGGTCAGTATGTTGAACTTCTAGAGGGAGAAGCTAAAAGACCATGCAAAGTATTTATATCATGGCCTGATATTAATATTACCCACAATCATAGACTTTTTGTGTGACCAAGGGATGCATCTCAGCACATCCAATGTGTGGCACCTTAGACAACTTGGACACCTGTTCCCCCTCACTACCTAGTCTTGAAGTTGATAGTCTTCACCTTAAGGACAACTTTGGTGCTTTTTTGTGTGACTTGGAAGTGAGCAACACCATCCCCAGAGGAACCAAGAGTTTGTAATCCCTGTGTCTTATGTTTGAGAAATAACAAATATCGGACATTTTATACATATTTATTTAATCTTATTTGTAACAAAACAAAACAGAAATCATGAACCCACAGTGTTGTGATAATACCTCTCCTTAAGACATGATCTAAAATGTTTTAGAAGCCATGCTAGTAGTTCAAATATTCCACATTAATAGAACTACAGCATGACAATTTCAATATGGAACATTTTGAATGTGCCGTGTTAATGTTACCATGATTACTGTAATAATCATGCTTGGACAAAACTGACATTGTTTACATCAATTTCAAACAATAAAACTGATGAATCATGCATTAACATCATAAACACAGTTAACATTTTTAGATGATAACATCAGTCATTCTATAAATTGTTACAAATACCACAGGATTATTGGACTGTCAATAAACATGTAACAATCTGGAGAACCAAAGAGAACATTTTTAATAGCCTCTTGATAATATTCAGTTGTCCAGAAGATTTGAATAGTGTAATTCTCAAAAAGGCACAAGATCCATTCTCTATTCTGTCTTTCGTGAATCTGCCAGTGTCCAATAAGAGAAATTGAAACTCTAACATAAATATCTACATCAATTCATTTACTCAATTCTTACACAACTGAGCTTTATCATGATTTATTGATTATGTTCACTTTTTGGCAACTTTAGCAATTTTACGGGGAGGTTCCCAACGTAAACATGGTGCTTCTATTGTAATCGGAGGACGTTTGTACTGGGCACTCTTTAAATGCTCTTCTACTAGCTTGGGTGTCACACAAATCACATGCTGCCCTTTCCAGTACTTCACCATGTTGAGTGACTGCAATGTGCTGATAATGTCATTCTGGGTGATGCTTGTCATGCGACTCAAGTCACGAATTGAAAGGGTTCCACGGAAATCTCGCAAAATCTCCAACAATACCCATGACCAGTAACTTCGGTAACTCAACTTTCCAAGATCTGACAGGGGCTTTTCCGGTGAACCAACTGTCCCTTCCAGTTTTGACAACTCATAGCTGAAAGCAATCAGAAACTTTCCATACCCTTTCCGTTGGAATGGTGGAAGGGTGAGTATACAGGCAACATTGTTACCATCAGGAGATTCTTTTTCTTTGGAGAAGTATCCCACAAGATGACACCCTTGTCGATCAACTTCTGTCAAGATGTAGAAAAGGAAGGGTTCTACATCAAAATACAGAGTTTTGTGATCAAGAAACATCTTAGCAAGAAGGCAAAGGTTCTGGCAGTAGATTTTGGCATCTTTTCCGTCAACCTCAAACAACGACACTGTGCCTTTTCTGTAGATTTCCTTTCCAGGAGGATAGCGCCACGTGCACTGGGTTTGATGGTATCGGTATGTTTTCTCAAGACGCATATATTTCAAACAGTATTCACAAATCCATAATTTTGACTGCTTTCCATACTCTTCTGGGTAAGGTGAAAAGTACCAGGCATCGATTTCATATTTCCCAATTTGAACTTTATCGATATATTTCACTTTCGTGATTGCTTCGTGTTCCTTTTCTAAAGCCGCCGTTGTTGGGTCCATTTCTGCGTACGTTTTCTGGACATGGTTGATCTCATCATGCTTTCTTTTCTGATTTCTCGTGATCTTTCGATCGGTCCCGTCGCTCAAATCAGTCAGGTTAATCGTAAGATCTTTCACCTTACTTTGCTGGTCGTCAATTTTATGAGACAAATCAAACTTGTCTAATTCCACCCATTCATCTAAACGACGATTGAAACCGTCGTAGTGAACATAGAATTCCTTACCGCCAACATCAGTAAGTCTTGTTTGAATTATTTCCGCAACATGCCAAGAATTGTCCGATCGTTGCACTAGAAAATGATCTCCAATATCGGGATTAATCTCTTCAGTATGATTGCTATCCTTCCGTTCGTCTCTAGCCATACCTGGTGTGTTTTTAGCATTCGTATGGTTAGAATTTAACTGAGAAGACGCCATTTCATACAAAGCTTTCTTCTCAATATCCGCCATGATGGGTAACCTACTTTGATGTATACTACTTAGGGCACAACTAACAATATTTTTATTAGTGAAATGATAAGAAAATGTGATTATATATTTCTCTAAGATACAGAAGACTATAAACAAAAATATATGACAATTAATTCTAAATATTATGTACATGATTATACGATACTGACACGTATTATTTCATAAACAACAGATATTATGTCCCCGACCTGTATGGCGGATACGCATAGCAGTATCCTTCTAAAAATAGATTACATGCCTGGCGATTCACTGCGGACTTAGGCTTTGTTGACAACATGGCGGAAAATGGACTAGACGATAAGCTGTTACAGAAAACAGCGGTCGACATGAAGGCGTCAGGCGACATATTACAAACACGGTTACCTGATTTATATTCTCACCATCTAGATCTGCAAGGCCGACCTGGATCGCAGTTGAGCGATAGATTGACGTTCACTGATAAGAAAGGCAATTCCGTCTCTGCTTATCCAGTGATTGTTGATCTCCGACGGCTAATGCAACTAGGCACAACTGAATCAATGATCAAAGGGGTAGGGTACAACATGAACGCTTTCTTTTCTGGACTTGGCAGTATTATTTATGTTTTCTTTAACTCTTTTGAATGATTGCTTTAAACTGTTATGTCAGTCTACCAAAATACATTTTCTCCCTAGGTTTTATGTATCCTTTATTCGATTCCTGCCAGTTGAAGTATTTGTTTGTTTGTTGATTAACGCTTCAGTGAGCAATATTCTACCTATATGACAGCGGTCTGTAAATAACTGAGTCTGGACCAGTGATTGATATCATGAGCATCGACCCTTGCAATTGAGATACAATGACATGCATCAACCAAGTTAGCGAGCCTGACCACCTGATCCGGTTAGTCACTGCTTACAAGCATGGGTTGCAGAAGACCTATTCTAACCTGAATGAGTTAACTGCTGAAGTAGCTGAATAATTATTATCTCATGCTTATCTATCAATGATTGCCACTATTTTTTCCACACTGGAATATTGTAGGAAGTAGGGGGCAAACTGTGAACATCATTTTGCTTTTACTTTTGTGGTTTAGTAAGCATCTACCAACAATCATCTTCCCGAGGCAAGGGCGTTAACTGACTATTAAAGTCCAGTTTCCACCCTTGCTGAATAGTCTGGAATTCTGGAGTTACATTTTGGCTGGGCTAAATTTAATTAGTCTAGGCACAGTCCAATCAAAATCACATGATGAACTAGACATCCGTTTCGCAAGCACCATGGATTTCAACATGCAGGTTTCAGTTGAATGCAGGATTTGTAAAGGATGTGTACCGCCAACTGATATTTTGCAAATCTTTTCATGTTTTTAATCAAGTTATTTTAATGCACTTTGCAATGTTAGACCCGTTCTATTGCAATATAGATTTTGATTATTGATCAGGTCGTCTTTGACTGGACGCCACCATTTTGTTTGAAGCAACAGCAAGTAATATGAGAAGGGGAATCTGATTGGTCAATAGGAGGGACATAGAAGGGACAATAGCCAGTAGAATTGAGCCTGGCAGTTCCAGCTTAGTTCGGCAAGGGTAGAAACTGGACTTTTACTGTCAGTTAACATCCTTGCCTTTGGAAGATGGCCAACAATAGATAATGTCACTTGTTCCATAGCAAGTCTGATTAACATTATCCAAAATACATTATATAATTATTGTGTTTCAGGTTTCCAACAAAGACCTCTTGCATGCTGTTGTAGCTCTGTATGATGTGTCCCTGTCGGAGATGACACCAGATGTGTTGTATGCAACTGTTTGTGACAAGTGGGCCCGCACAGTTGTACTTGTCAGGGATATCAAAGGTGGATTTAAAAGCTTAATAATGCTAAATATCAGTAATAAGCTATAATCTCTTGCAAACTTCATGTCCATTATTCCATCATGTAACAGGTTTCCTTTTGGATGCAAGTACTGACCAGTGGTGATTAAAGTTACTATTGTGCTCATGAACATATGGTTTCCAGTTACCTTGACAATTGAGGGTCATGCAGACTTCATTATTATTTTTTATCTTTTCCTGCATTACTACCTTAATGCCACTTCTGCTGTTCTTTGACTAGGACTTAGGAGACACAGCTGTGAGAGGTCCTGGCTACAGAAATTGTTGTACCCACCAGTTGTGTGGCTTACTTCCTCCCGCAGCCACCATCACATATAACCACATCACTACTGGTCATTGGACTGTACAGACGTTTAAGAATAAAGCTCCCCAGTTTGAAGGACCAGACAGAATTCTTTCCTTATCCCTGATAACTGATACATTCTCAGTTGTATATATAATAGCCTACCTTAGCGTATATCTCGGCTGATTTTGGCTCTTTCCTGGGCTTACATTGCGCATGTGTTATCCGCCATCTTGTTTTGCCATGTTGTCACGTTTGCATGTCTTGTGCCTTCATAGTTCAATGTGTCTATCTCAGCTTATGACGACATCTGTTACTCTGGCGCTATCTGCGACCACAGCAGTTTCAAACATTAGATAATCAGTATACCTCTGGTGCCCCCGGCTTGCTCTCCTGTGCTAAAAGCACCTGATACATAGCATATGCATACGCCTCTGTTGCCAATAACTACTACTACCTCACGTCCGTCCAGGGCTCCTTTGGAGGACGCCTTAACACCTTTGCAGCCTCATACACATGCCTCTATCTCTCCCACGTCTTCTTCCTGTCATACTTCCAGATCCTCACACTCTAGACGTTGCCGATTCGTCTTACGAGTCAACTGCGATGGAGTTAGACACACACATGGGACTTAACCAAGTGCCGGATTGGATGGCGGACTGGTTGGCTTCGGTCGCTCCCTCCCCGGCTCCAGATGTTGACACAATTTGGTCCTCCCCTAAATCCATCCCATTGGATCCCATGCTCACAGATTTGATATCAGCCTTGGATGATGATTTCTCCAAACTGTCCCTCACTTTGGCTTTTAAGGCACCTCGTTACAAGAAGCTAGACTGGAATTCGGTGGTTGCTCAAGCCCTTATCTGTCTTGGCCTCGTCTGCCAGAACCATTGATCAGGATCTCATTGAGGACAATCCTAATCTGGTCTATTTTTTACGTACTATGATGTCATTTCAACAACGTCAAATCGACCATCTACGTAATCATATCCGCATGGCTTTGACGGAGATCATCACCACCAGGTACCTTGGTTATCTCGCCTTAAGGGTTTGGGATTCTGAGGTCAAGAGGCCTTGGAGTGCATCCTCACTATTCAATTGCGCTATCTCTGAAACCCCAAACGTGTCTCCAGCTTTGCCTGTGATGGTGTTCCAGCGTTTCGGCCTGCCACATATCAACCTATTCGCCACCAGCCAGAATGATCAACTCTGGACCTTCATCTCCCCGTTCCCTCTGGCTTGGGCGTTCACACATTTAGCATTCACTGGGTGCTTTTCCGCCACCTGTACTAATTACCAGGGTTCTGCAGAAGACTAAAAACACACTGAATCTATCACTGCTTTTGGTCATGCCTTGGAGGCTGGCATGGAATTGGTTTGTCGATCTTCAAGACATTGCCAGTCGCGACCCTCTTGAACTCCCAGGGTGGCCACATCTACTGGTCCATCCCCTCAGTCAGTTGCCACACAAGTTTTGACTCTTACACCTCGGAACTGACCCTGTGACCTCCCTGATAGTAATTACCCCGGACTTGGGGGTTTCATGTTTCCACTTATTCCAGCAGCTTGAATCAGAATTTAGAACTTGGCCAACTCACTTTTCTACTGTTCCCTTTTCCATGACTGGATTTCACACCTCCTACTCTCCCTATGGCCCTCTCTGTTCCATCTGATAAAAATGCATTAAGATGAGAAATGCAGGATAAGATAAAAAAAACTTTTTACATTTGGATACTTATCCAGCATAACTATGTCTAAGGTGCCCTCCGAAGGCTTTGCTACCTCCCCAATGAGTTTCAGATGTCCGTTACTGGCAGTGATGTGGTTATACGTGACCTCGCCACTTCTGGTCATGTGTTGGCTGTGGGAGGAAGTAAGCCACACAACTGGTTGGTACAACAACTTCTGTAGCCAGGACCTCTCACAGCTCTGTCTTCCTAGTCAAAGTACAGCAGTTGAAGATTGATTGATTGAATGATTCTGCCATGGAGTTAAAACTACAGCTGGCTTCTTGAATCACTGATAGTGATGTAGACATGGATTCTCTTTCTGATTAAATCCTCCTTGGGGCACTTATTGCACTTATTGCATTTTCCTTGCTCAAGAAAATCTATATGACATAGTTGTAACCATTTTCCTTAATAAAAAATGTTACCACACAAAAAACTTCGTTTTTGTATGATATACGACCACCCTTACGGGGCCTCACCCCCAACGGCGCCTCACGCCAGGGGGAGCAACTCTCACCCAAATCACTTTCCTTATGTCATCTGTAAGAGACAGACGTGTTGATTTTTCACACAAGACAAAAATAAGAGAAATCTATCGTTCGACAAGAACCATGGCTGACCAAACTGTATGTATGGTACATTTCTTTCTTTGCAAAGGCGTAATACCTCGCATTGTGAAGTTATAGAGTTGTAATAATACGCCACGTGCACGGTACCTTTGAATTCAAATGGCCGTAATGGCGTCCATATTGTAGTTCCACGGGCTGATACATGTAACACCAAGGCCATTAAGAAACGGCTTGGGGTTTTGTTATATCATACAGCATTGGTCTACAATTTTTTCCTTTACAAAACCCAAGGTGGTGTGTTAATTCATAAACTACACTTACCTTTTTTACGGGTTTTTACACCTTAGCGCGTAACACGCCCCTTTGGTGTTATAATTATACTACACATTGGCTATTAGTATCGCGTTACAAATCGCATTCTACATTACGCCTTTGCTTCTAGTTTCACAATTTATGCACGTTTCTTTCCGATCTTTATATCGCACTGATACACGTTGATACCCTTCCCGCCCACCTCAGAAATTACGGTCTTGTTTACAAGACCTTCAAACTGTGTACGGGTTGTTCTAAGACAGGCACGAACGCTGCCGAATATGTCTGGCGGAGGACATTGCCTTTACCCCCCGGGGCCCCCAAAAGAGACAAGTTGACTTGTTCCACTTTAAAGAGGTCTATTAAAGGCGGGGGTAGATATCAGATCTACTAAGACATCCCCCCCTCCCCATCTAAAAAGGGTAAAAAAGCTGCCGAGATTGTCTCCCCCGCTCCCTCTCCGGGGGCCGGGGGAGAAGGCTCGAGGGTCCCCGTAGTAAGCACTGCACCCTCTCCTGCACTGTCTTTGGCAGACTTTTCTGCGTTACTTAAGTCGCAGATGGCGTCGATGATGGAGGAGGTAAAGTCTCAGCTCCGAGAGGAGATGCGGACCGAGCCTTCCCCGTTGTCGTCGCCGGACGCGGCTTCGAGACCTTGTGATATGCCCGGCGTCGGCCGAGGCAGGCAACTTGGTCTCGGGGACGATCTCAGACCGGGCTTCGGCGCCGGCTCGAGGTCGCTCCCCAGCGGAGGGGTGGCGGGCGCCGGCCCGTGCACTACCGACGCACAATTTTTCCCTAGCGGAGCCAGACGCCTCTTCCGAGGCCGAGGCTTTCACTAGTGGATTCGTAGCCCGGAGCCAGGGGGGTTCCCTTGGTCTCGGGGACGATCCGAGACCGAGCTTCGGCTCCGGCTCGAGGTCGCTCCCTAGCGTAGTGGTGGCGGGCACCGGCCCGTGCACTACCGACGCACAATTTTCCCTAGCGGAGCCAGACGCCTCTTCCGAGGCCGAGGCGTCCACTAGTGGATACCTAGCCCGGAGCCAGGTTGGTTCCCTTTGTCTCGGGGACGATCCGAGACCGAGCTTCGGCTCCGGCTCGAGGTCGCTCCCCAGCGTAGTGGTGGCGGGCACCGGCCCGTGCACTACCGACGCACAATTTTCCCTAGCGGAGCCAGACGCCTCTTCCGAGGCCGAGGCGTCCACTAGTGGATACCTAGCCCGGAGCCAGGTTGGTTCCCTTTGTCTCGGGGACGATCCGAGACCGAGCTTCGGCTCCGGCTCGAGGTCGCTCCCCAGCGTAGTGGTGGCGGGCACCGGCCCGTGCACTACCGACGCACAATTTACCCTAGCGGAGCCAGACGCCTCTTCCGAGGCCAAGGCTTTCACTAGTGGATACCTAGCCCAGTGCCAGGTGGGTTCCCTTGAACCTCCGGCACCTCGGCACCGGGACTCGGCCTCGGGCCGGGTGCAGAGACACGTGCGGGACAGGATTGTCCATGTACTGCCTCAGGTTGCTGCGCCCATGCCAGAGTCGGAGACACCCAACTTGACTAAGGTCAAGCAGGGCCGGCGGTTGCCACCCCTTTCCCGTGTGCGGTGCGGAGTTGAAGGCTGCTTACATATGCTTCGAGGAGCAATATCATAATGCATGCCAACAGCTCCGTGTGTCCGTACACTCCGCGTATCTGTCGGCTGTACAGAGGGAGTTAGCGGGAGAGGGGCCGGCCGACTCTTCGGAGTTGGCCGCGCAACTAACATTATCTTGCGCGGGACGCTATTCGTAGCTGTGCATCGCAGATGATGTGCGCTGTTATGTGCATGCGCAGGCGGTGGATGTCGGTATCTAAATACTCGACTTACACACGCCAAGACCTACTTGCTTTGCCGTATAAGAGGGTGCCACCCTCTTCCCTGGGGCTCAGCAGGCGGTCCGAGAGGCTGCTCAATTGTATACTTCCATCAAAGACTCATAAGGCCTTGTTGGAGGTACCAAGCGTTAAAACCGCGTAAGCGGGCCTCTCCAATTGTCCCCTCCTACGCTAACGCACGGGTCAGACGTCCACACCTGCTTGGAAGCCGCCGCTTCCTTCAGGTATAAGGGCGCCGTGAGGAGCAAGAGAGGCACGGGCCGGGGCAAGGCAGCTGGTCGAGGCCAACAGCTTTTTCGCGGGGCTGGGAACGATGGGTTCCCATTAGCGCCCGAAGAGCCCCGGGTGAACCCATAGTCGCAAGTTATCGGGAAAACTCATCCGCTCCTCCACTTTTCCGGGATAAAGCACACACCGGTGCCTGCTACCCGAGAGAAGGCGGAATTCCTCCGTGCCGAGGTCGACGCACTTCTTATGAAAGCTGCGATCGAACCGGGTCCCGAGGGACAGGAAAGCGAGGGCTTCTACTCGACTTGTTTCCTAGTCACCAAACAGTGATCTCAACTGTCGAGACAGGAGAATGGCTAACGTCAATAGACTTAAAATACGCCTATCTCCACATACCAATACATCCAGAGTTCAAGAAATACCTGAGGTTTTCTTTCGACGGGAGGTGTTATCAGTTCAGGGTTCTACCATTCGGGATCTCCACGGCCCCGAGGGTGTTCACCAAGCTGATGTTGATTCCCGCCCAAGTGGCCAGGTCAAAAGGTCGGTTCTGCCATCCGTACCTCGACGACTAGGTTACTAAGAGCTCTATTGCAATCCCTGAGTCAGATAGCTACACAACAAGTGATAGATATTCTGATCACTCTAGGGTGGATGGTCAATCTCAAGAAGTCAGATCTGAGCCCCACTCAGAATCTAGTCTTCCTAGTGGCTAATTTCAACACGGTGAGAGGACGTGTATCTCTGTCACAAGATATCAAGTCCCTTAAGCGCAAGTCACACTGCTCGTACATGGCTCCAGTTACTGGACAACATGGCGGCGACAGTGGATTTGGTCTGGCGGGCGCGCTTGAGAATGAGTCCCATTCAACAAGCACTCCGTCGACTTTGGGCGAACTCGGAAGATCTCGAGACTGTGCTCGAGACTCCGTAGTGGCTCATTACACACCTCCAGTGGTGGACCGAGGTCGGGAATCACTCCCGTTCCGTCTCTCACAGTTCAAACAGACGCGTCACTCTCCGGCTGGGGAGGCGTTCTGAATGATCACACTGCCTCGGGACTATGGTCCCAGCAGGAGATCAAACTGCATATCAATGTGCTAGAACTGAGAGCGGTCAGGTTGGTGTTCCAACGCTTCCCGGATCTGCTTCGTGGCCAAGTGGTTCGTCTAGAAATGGACAACCAAACGGCGATGACTTACATCCGGAAGCAGGGGGGAACGGCGTCTCCGTCGCTTCGACGAAAGACGTGGCAGTTCCTACTATAGTGCGACTCTCACGATATCAGGGTGCTACCTGTTTATCTCCCGGGGGTGGACAACGTCCGTGCGGACGCTCTGTCTTGCCGGATCCTCGCTCCTCACGAGTGGAGGCTCGACCCGGGGATATTCGGGATTTTCTCCCTGTTATACAGGTCGTTACAGGTGGATCTGTTTGCGTCTGGGTTAAATAACCAGACACCAACGTTCTACTCCCGAGTCCACGACCCGAGGTCGGTGGCACCGGACGCCTTTCAGCTAGATTGGACGGACAGTTCTGTGGGCATTCTCCCCAGTACCTCTGATTTCCAAGGTCCTGTCTCAGCTAGGCACTCAGCCTGCGCGACTAATTGTGCTCCTGGCACCTCTTTAGTCGGCGCAGAGTGGGTTTCCAGTAATACTCAGGTTTCTGGCTCAGCCTCCTGTTATATTACCTTTACGACCGGACCTCCTATCCCAGAACGGGGCCCTCCACCCGAATCTCAGGATTCAATGGGTGGCTTGGCCACTGTCAGGAATCGCCTCCAGAAGAGCGGTATTCCTGCACGAGTTGCAGACACAATACTGGCTTCGCGGAGGGATTCGACAAACGTTCAGTACGATAGATAGGCCTGCTATGCGCCCAGGTGTGTCGATAGAGGGATTGCAGATCTTTTTTCTGCAGATCTCGTATCCGTGCTTGAGTTTCTCCAGTCGCGACTAGATGACGGCCTGGCCGCATCAACAGTCCGAGGGTACTCTACAGCTATCGCAGCTTTTCACGTCCCTGTCGACGGGGCACTTCTGGGTGCACACCCATTAGTGCAGCGCTTTTTAGCAGGTGTGGACAGGATCCGACCGCCAGTCCGGCGGATCAGTCCCCCTTGGGACTTGTCAATCATTCTAGATTGGCTGTCCGGTCCTTCCTTTCGGGATCTGTCGTCTCTCTCTCTTCAGCTGTTGAGCTGGGAGACGGCGTTCCTTGTGGTGGTAACGTCCGGCAGACGGGTAGGCGACATTCGTGTTATGTCAGCCGATCCCAAAATAACTGTCTTCCATGGGGTCGATAAATATCACCGGGACAGTCAGTTTTCGTCTACCGGACTATTACCGTCCTAGGGTCGCACACGATTCCACGTGAACGGCTCCTATTGAGCTACCCGCTCTTTCACAGCCTTCCTCGTCGGGGACCACTGCAAGACATGCTCATGTCTTGGATGTCTGCACGACTCTCAAGGCCTATATCAGCAGAAATATGGGTGTCCGTAAGGATAACCAACTATTTTGCTGTTACTGCGGTAGGAAGGTTGGCTCACCTGCGAGTAAACAATCTATCTCGAGGTGGATAGTTTCAAACATTTGTACAGCGTATACGCTTACAGGCAGGGACCCCCCTACCAGGTTGTAGGCTCATTAGGTTAGAGCAGTGGCTGCGTCAAAAGCGTACGCCGCGGCTCTGCCCATTGAGCAGATCTGCTCCGCGGCTATTTGGAGCCAGCCGAGCACGATTCATCAAACCTTACCAACTCGACAAACACTCAAGCGAGCGTACTCGGTTTGGTCAGTCAGTTCTCCGAACTGGGCAAAGTTCTAATCTCTAGCTGATTGAGCATTCGAGATTTTAGACAGTCTTCCGGTTATACTGCTCAGTAATGGTCCGGATTTTATCTTCTGCGGTCGATAAATATCAGTCGTTACTACTCGATAATACTCGTATTTTGCGCACGCACTCCTTCGATCCTCGGGGACCCTCTGGCCTAGCTCAGCGCTGGTTATGGTCTCTCGTGATCTACGCCCTTATATCACTTGTTCAAAAAAGTGTGGGGGGGTGGGAGGTGTTTCGAGTTCTCAACTTATGACAAGCCGCAAAAACAGGCTTTATCATAATATATGGTCGACCACGCCCTGTCTCTAGCCCCCGCCTTTCGACGGTGGTGCCTCACGATAAGGTTGGTTCCATTTATTGAACTCAATATTTTATTCTGTTGAATAATCAAATACGATGTATTTATTTACGCCTGTTGCTGACGGATGCCACTTCCTAGATTATCTTTGGGAGTCTGTCTTGATGCAATAAGTGCCCCAAGGAGGATTTAATCAGAAAGAGAATTTTACAAACCTGTAGAGGTTATGAATTCTCTGATGAAATCCTCCTTGGGGCACGGCCACCCACCTCCCCACATTCCGTCAGCATTTGACATATGGAAAGTGATTTGGGTGAGAGTTGCTCCCCCTGGCGTGAGGCGCCGTTGGGGGTGAGGCCCCGTAAGGGTGGTCGTATATCATACAAAAACGAAGTTTTTTGTGTGGTAACATTTTTTATTAAGGAAAATGGTTACAACTATGTCATATAGATTTTCTTGAGCAAGGAAAATGCAATAAGTGCAATAAGTGCCCCAAGGAGGATTTCATCAGAGAATTCATAACCTCTACAGGTTTGTAAAAATTTATATATAACATTTTATATTGTATCAGAGGGTCTCTATTACTGGCGGGAGACAAAATAAACAAAAGTTTTTATGTTTAATTTATTTCTTGGAGTGGCTGCTGTTCAGTAGGGATGACAGGCCTAAACATTTTGTTAGTTATATAGTCAAAAGTCATAAGAAGTATATTGTACAAAAGGCCTCCGGCCGATATACACAAGAGAAAGTTAGGCATATAAATATATTCATAAATGTTACACATAGGGATGGATATACATGTTGTTTAATTTGTTCATTTCTTTGGCCAATGCATGTTTAGTATAATGAGCGAGAGAAAAATATGTAGTGATGTTTTTTCATTTATTCATTTTATTGTTGTTTAAGCTTCAGGACACTTGTTCTATTCTATTCCTATAATTAATGGGCATATGCTGGACCTGGTCATTTGATCTACCGGGTAGTCAGTCTCTATTGAGCTTGTGACAAACTAAGGTTGAGTTTTATACTCATTACACCTAGCATGCCTAGTGGACATTGGTCCGGTCTGCAGCAGCTTCTTCACGGGAATTCATCTTCTCTCTTTCACTAGAGACAGAGGAAAGTCTGAATACAGCTAAACAGAGTGGAGAGAAAGACAGAAAGGTATCTGAGGCTGATGGAGACAAGGATGCTGACAAGTCTCATGTGATAGATGAAGAAACAGACACCTATGAGGGGGAAGATGCCACGACCAGTGTATTTGCTGACATCTTTAGTGACAGTGAAGAGGAAGAGGAGGAAGAAGAGGAGAGGTGAGAAAAATACTTTTTTTGTAGTAAACCTGTATACACATTCAATCATCTCCATTACATCTTTTATCATATGACATGTAGACATATATATACCAATCAGTTAATTACTCTCAGAGGTCTGCAGACTAGACATTGTTTAACTGGAACTTCACTACAGCACATGGCAGTATGAATGTTGAGTGTTTCTGCAGATGATATTTAATGATAAGTGTGAATTGAGAAGTTAGTTTTTATATAACAAATAGGACCTAAGTTCAAATTCCTTCATCTCCAATTTGTTCTGAAGGAGAATTTAATAAAATGCGTTGACACTGGTGACTATTTCTTTGAATATGTTTCTTTTCTTTGATCACTTGAAGAATATAGTTAACACCTGAATGTGGCTTTGTTTTATGAGTGATTTTCCTGACACTTCATATAATGTACAGTTAAAAGTTACAGTATGTCCTGGGATCCTTGAGGATTTCTGCAACAGTACTTTAATCTAGGATCCCCAAATGTTATGACTTTGATTGCCATTCTTTATTTCAAACATGGCAAACAATAGACCCTTGATAAAACTGTTGCAGTGATGAAGAAGACTTCTCCAAAGGCATTGGTACTTTCATAAAGACAGTGTCTGAGAGGAGAAAGAAGCGGAGGACACAAAATAGCCGAATAGAGTCGGGTCAGATTGGTATTGAGAACAGACTACTGGCATGTGCCACATTTGAGAAGAAATTTGTGTAAGAGTATTTATTATTTGTGTATATGTTACAGTCAATAGCTATAATCAGGCAATATGTATATTGACTAAAGATTTCTGTCAATATGTATCTTGACTAATTCAGTCAGGCAATGTACATTTTGAAAGAAATTTTCAGTCAATATGCATGTTCCCTGAAAAATGAGACTGGATTTTAGACAGATTGACTGAAATAAATTAGACTCCCTAATTTAATCTCCTTATTTTAATTTGGATCTATTTTTATCTAAAATGATCAAAGTAACTTCACTAAGTATGCAGTTTACACAATATATTCAAGGCAATCATATGTCATCTTCCCGAGGCAAGGGAGTTAACTGACTATAAAAAGCCCAGTTTCAGGAACAAACAAGGCTGGAATTTGGGGTGGGTTTAGTCAAGGGAGGAAACTGAACTTTTCGTTTTATCAAAATCAATCATCAAAATAGCTTAAAGAGCCTTGAATTTGTACAAAATGACACATACTTTTTAATCAAAGTGAGATTTATCACAGTGATATATTTGTGTGCCAAACACCCTGAAGAATTCATGATAGGCTTAATTTATTTTTTTGTTGGATGAAAAATATGTCTTGCTGGAAAATGTGTGATGGTCATACTGCTTTTTAGGTGTTAAGACCAATAGTTAGTGTGCTTGATTTAATACAATACTGACAGACTAAGGCTAATGGCCGAACTAAAAAAGCCTTAAAGATTACAGTTGGCAGCCTTGAAAAGGTCCTGAAGTTTAGTGTTCCATATCTGTATGATCATGGAAGATGTCTGATGTTAACAAATGTTAACACATCACTAATTATGTTGTGTATTTTTAATTAATAAGAAGTAAATCTGATAAGAGCTAATGGGTTAATTATTCAAATAATTAGCAGTGACCTAAAACAGTCTTCTCATCATATTCAAATAAGCTGATTAGAATACAGATGGTTACAATAGTTCACGTCAAAGCCATAGGTGACAGAGACCTACAAAATCATGTGGACAGTAATATTATACCATTGCTCTGTCTACTTTTGCAACGGCTACCTCAGAATTCATATCTTTATATCAAGGATATGTTTGCCATCATTAAGTAAGGTCATGTTTCAACTGGTCATGGTAGTCGTGACAAAATGTTGAAAGCATTGACTAAATATGCTAATATAAATCGGGAGATAGTAGAACAGTACGACATTGAATGTCAGAAGACACGTAAACAAAGTACAACAAAAGGCATAGTTGTTAAACCCATCCTGTCCAAGGACTTTGGATCTCAACTTCAAAAGCTTGTTCCCTCCAATGAGGGGGTGGTCGGGTAGCCTAGTGGTTAAAGTGTTCGCTCGTCACACCGAAGACCCGGGTTTGATTCCCGACATGGGTACAATGTGTGAAGCCCATTTCTGGTGTCCCCCGCCGTGATATTGCTGGAATATTGCTAAAAGCGGCGTAAAACCATACTCACTCACTCCCTCCAAGGAGGACACCCCAGTTTGCTCCAGAGGATTGAATCCGGTTTTCAATATGACCTCCTACAGCAACCTTTGTTAAGTGGCTACCTTTGGTGAAATTTGTAACTGTAAACTACACTACATGGTGAGCTACAGTGCCGTGACACTATGTTATATAGTTACAGCACAAAGTTCGTATTGACAGCGTACAAGGTCATAGATAGATATAATATAGTCTAAAACAGGCAATAACATTCTGCTTTTGTTTCATGATGCAAATTGTCTTTCAGTCGCCATAAAGATCGAGTTATACATTTGACTTTGATAAGCGTCAGACCTACCTACCGTGGCTTTGGCTTAGGAAAGTCCCTCATGTCTGTAAGTAGTTCACTCCTCAGTGACCCTGTACACTGGTGTAATTGTGCAGTTTAGTTTCATTTCTTTTCTTCTTGTCCAAGTGTAAGCCTACAGTGTGTTCTTACTAGGAGTGATACCTATAGGGTCCTCTGTGTAATGCCAGAGACAAAGTGTAAAAATGACAAATCACAGTACATTGCATTTCAGAATGCAATATCTACACTGTCTTTTAATCCTGAGGTTTGCTTCGATGTTTATTTAGCTCTATATACTGATGGACATGAATAAGGGCACACTCAGTTTTAGACACAGTAAAATGATGTGCTCTCATGGGTTGCCAGGCTAGTCTACCTTGTCAAGCTTATTTCTCTATATTTTTCATTGTTGCCTTGTTTGTTTCCATCAGTTTATGTTATGTATACATATGCTTCTATCATTTTGTATCGGTGCATGACATCATGGTACTTGTATCACAGCTCACAGTATGCTGATCCAATTGATCATCAGTGAATTGCAAAACCCTGAGACATATGTTATTAATTAACACTTTCAAACACAAAAACAATGCTTAAAGGTGTGTGTTGATGATAACATGAGTGTTTCATATCACAAGACCGACATCCTTTTGTATTTAACTCAAGTGTAATATATGGAGGGCTAGTTTCGTTCATGTAGTCACAGGCAATGCTAAACATGTTTTCCTCTTCAGTGTCAGAATTGACTAAGTATTAAATTAAGCATGACTACACAAGACCTTTCCTTTTGAATTACCTCAAATCTGTGCAGTATTTTCCACAGTGCACTGTATCATGTTTATACGCCGTGATCCTAATGTTGCAGCAAGTCGTGGACCCTACAGTGGTAGGCAACTATGAGGCTGTAGTTGTTCATGCTGATAATTCTGCTGTAGAGTTCTTCCAGAAGTTTGGCTTCTCTGATGACACTGTCCTCAACAGCAGATGGAGGTAGGTACAACCACAGCCACATGGATGGAAGGAAGCCATTGTGAATGTGTTCCTGAAACCAGGCTTCCCTAACTTTAAACATGAGTGGAAATCAGTTGATGAACCCCATGGAGGCTGTCAAAGTATTACTATTTGAAGGATATCGGCTGGTAGTTGAGGATATATGCTCGTAGTTAATGATATCGGCTGGTAGTTAATCATATCGGCTGGTAGTTAATGATATCGGCTGGTAGTTAATTATATCGGCTGGTAGTTAAGGATATTTTCTGGTAGTTAAGGATATCGGCTGGTAGTTAATGATATCTTCTGGTAGTTAATGATATCTGCTGGTAGTTAATGATATCGTCTGGTAGTAAAGGATATTGACTGGTAGTTAATGATATCGGCTGGTAGTTAATGATATTGGCTGGTAGTAAAGGATATCGTCTGGTAGTTAATGATATCGTCTGGTAGTTAATGATATCGGCTGGTAGTTAATGATATCAGCTGGTAGTAAAGGATATCGGCTGGTAGTTAATGATATCAGCTGGTAGTTAATGATATTGGCTGGTAGTAAAGGATATGGGCTGGTAGTTAATGATAACGGCTGGTAGTTGATGATATCCCTCTGTAGTTAATGATATCGGCTGGTAGTTAATGCTAACTTCTGGTAGTTAATGATATCTGCTGGTAGTTAATAATATCATCTGGTAGTAAAGGATATGGGCTGGTAGTTAAGGATATCGGCTGGTAGTTAAGGATATCGTCTGGTAGTTAATGATATCGGCTGGTAGTTAATGATATCAGCTGGTAGTAAAGGATATCGGCTGGTAGTTAATGATATCAGCTGGTAGTAAAGGATATCGGCTGGTAGTTAATGATATCAGCTGGTAGTAAAGGATATCGGCTGGTAGTAAAGGATATCGGCTGGTAGTTAGTGATATCGGCTGGTAGTTAATGATATCTTCTGGTAGTTAATGATATCTGCTGGTAGTTAATGATATCGTCTGGTAGTAAAGGATATTGGCTGGTAGTTGAGGATAGCTGCTGGTATTAAAGGATGGCTGTTGGTGTATCAGCAATAGATTTACATTCATAACAAGTACTAACATGAGTTCAACTCTGTTGCAATTGGCAGGTTGGTAGGCATGATTAATGTCTCTATCATGTCTTATCAACTAACTCAGTATTTTATTTCAGTGAACTTGCTGAGCAGTTTACCAACTGTACCTTGATGTGCTTCCTGCCTGGATTCACAGGTGGGTGACTTACTGCTTTAACTGTCTAGTACAACATACACCAACTGAGTGTCCTGCCTGGGTGACTTACTACTTTAACTGTGTCTAGTACAACATACACCTACTGAGTGTCCTGCCTGGGTGACTTACTACTTTAACTGTCTAGTACAACATACACCAACTGAGTGTCCTGCCTGGCTGACTTACTGCTTTAACTGTGTCTAGTACAACATACACCAACTAAGTCTCCTGCCTGGGTGACTTACTACTTTAACTGTGTCTAGTACAACATACACCAACTAAGTGTCCGGCCTGGGTGACTTACTGCTTTAACTGTGTCTAGTACAACATACACCAACTAAGTGTCCTGCCTGGGTGACTTACTGCTTTAACTGTGTCTAGTACAACATACACCAACTAAGTGTCCTGCCTGGGTGACTTACTGCTTTAACTGTGTCTAGTACAACATACACCAACTAAGTGTCCTACCTTGGTGACTTACTACTTTAACTGTGTCTAGTACAACATACACTAAATGAGTGTCCTCCCTGGGTGACCTACTGCTTTAACTGTGTCTAGTACAACATACACCAACTGAGTGTCCTACCTGGGTGACTTACTACTTTAACTGTGTCTAGTACAACATACACCAACTGAGTGTCCTACCTGGGTGACTTACTACTTTAACTGTGTCTAGTACAACATACACTAAATGAGTGTCCTCCCTGGGTGACTTACTGCTTTAACTGTGTCTAGTACAACATACACCAACTAAGTGTCCTGCCTGGGTGACTTACTGCTTTAACTGTGTCTAGTACAACATACACCAACTAAGTGTCCTACCTTGGTGACTTACTACTTTAACTGTGTCTAGTACAACATACACTAAATGAGTGTCCTCCCTGGGTGACTTACTGCTTTAACTGTGTCTAGTACAACATACACCAACTGAGTGTCCTACCTGGGTGACTTACTACTTTAACTGTGTCTAGTACAACATACACCAACTGAGTGTCCTACCTGGGGGACTTACTGCTTTAACTGTGTCTAGTACAACATACACCAACTAAGTGTCCTACCTTGGTGACTTACTACTTTAACTGTGTCTAGTACAACATACACTAAATGAGTGTCCTCCCTGGGTGACTTACTGCTTTAACTGTGTCTAGTACAACATACACCAACTGAGTGTCCTACCTGGGTGACTTACTACTTTAACTGTGTCTAGTACAACATACACCAACTGAGTGTCCTACCTGGGTGACTTACTACTTTAACTGTCTAGTACAACATACACCAACTAAGTGTCCTACCTGGGTGACTTACTGCTTTAACTCTGTCTAGTACAACATACACCAACTGAGTGTCCTCCCTGGGTGACTTACTACTTTTACTGTCTAGTACAACATACACCAACTAAGTGTCCTACCTGGGTGACTTACTGCTTTAACTGTGTCTAGTACAACATACACCAACTAAGTGTCCTACCTGGGTGACTTACTACTTTAACTGTCTAGTACAACATACACCAACTGAGTGTCCGGCCTGGGTGACTTACTACTTTAACTGTCTAGTACAACATATACCAACTAAGTGTCCTACCTTGGTGACTTACTGCTTTAACTGTGTCTAGTACAACATACACCAACTGAGTGTCCTACCTGGGTGACTTACTACTTTAACTGTCTAGTACAACATACACCAACTAAGTGTCCTGCCCGGGTGACTTACTGCTTTAACTGTCTAGTACAACATACACCAACTGAGTGTCCTACCCGGGTGACTTACTGCTTTAACTGTGTCTAGTACAACATACACCAACTGAGTGTCCTGCCTGGGTGACTTACTGCTTTAACTGCGTCTAGTACAACATACACCAACCGAGTGTCCTACCCGGGTGACTTACTGCTTTAACTGTAATTAGTGATTTCAGCTACACTCACTCAGCATTTTCAAGCTCATCTGGACTGTTTGTTTAAGTTTGCTTAGCTCATGGTGTCTTGTCCATTTTGATTGGTCTTCCAGTCATTTTGCCATGTTTACATTTTCAAATACCTGGTGAAATCACAATGGCTAGTTTGTCTGGATTTTCCACTCCGCTCTATCTAAATGTATCCTAGTTATCATGTGAAGTTCTATATGCAGTCAGTATGTGGTGTGTGTAGTTCTATATGCAGTTAGTGTGTGGTGTGTGTAGTTCTATATGTAGTCAGTACGTGGTGTGTGTAGTTCTATATGCAGTCAGTACGTGGTGTGTGTAGTTCTATATGCAGTCAGTACGTGGTGTGTGTAGTTCTATATGCAGTCAGTACGTGGTGTGTGTAGTTCTATATGCAGTCAGTACGTGGTGTGTGTAGTTCTATATGCAGTCAGTACGTGGTGTGTGTAGTTCTATATGCAGTCAGTACGTGGTGTGTGTAGTTCTATATGCAGTCAGTACGTGGTGTGTGTAGTTCTATATGCAGTCAGTACGTGGTGTGTGTAGTTCTATATGCAGTCAGTACGTGGTGTGTGTAGTTCTATATGCAGTCAGTACGTGGTGTGTGTAGTTCTATATGCAGTCAGTACGTGGTGTGTGTAGTTCTATATGCAGTCAGTACGTGGTGTGTGTAGTTCTATATGCAGACATACACATCACACATTTGCCCTAGGAAGCTGAACCTTTATGAGACTATGTAGAACCACAATGTGACTTGTGGGTTTATTGAAAATGGTTTATCAATATATTCTAAGAGACCATTGGTCCACATGATATTGTGGAAGACTATGAGGCACTACAATGGAAGTCAGATTTAATCGGGTCATTGAAACATGTAAAATATATTCATGTTATTCAACTTTGTAGTCAAAACGTTTTCCTAAAAATAAAATAAATAAATAAATACATTTAAAAAACTTTGGAGTCAAATCTGTAAACTAATTCACTGAATTCTCTTAAAAGGTCAATATTTGTATTGTATTAAAAACATTATTTGAGTATCTAGACTTTGGACACTTTTTCGATCTTGTAGTTATGTCCAATTAAACCACTACTTTTACATCCCCACGGGATCGGGTGGTCAGGCTCGCTGACTTGGTTGATGCAGATCATTGATCCCAATTGCGTGGATCGATGCTCATGATGTCAATAACTGGATTGTCTGGTCCAGACTCGGTTATTTTACAGACAGCTGTCATATAGCTGGAATACTGCTGAGTGCAGCGTAAAACAACAAACCAAACCAAACCATTTTACATCTCCTCTAAAACCTCAGAGATGATGGAGCCGAACTTTGTGTGCTGACTTCAAATTGAATCTTTTCTCAACAAGGACCCAGTTGTTATCATGTTGAAAAGGGATTCTGTCCCACTACTCAGACGGGATTGTTATGTTCTGAATACTGTCAGATGAACTGTAATGAATCTCTGTAATGATGTGGCTCCTGGTCGGTGTTTCAGGCTTGTCTCTGCTCAACACATCCAAGGCCATGGGGACCGAGGTGATCGAGATGGAGCAGGAGTTCAACATGTGGTCAGTACTGGTAGCATACACACAGTGGTCAGTACTGGTAGCATACACACAGTGGTCAGTACTGATAGCATACACACAGTGGTCAGTACTGATAGCATACACACACAGTGGTCAGTACTGATAGCATACATACAGTGGTCAGTACTGATAGCATACACACACAGTGGTCAGTACTGATAGCATACACACACAGTGGTCAGTACTGATAGCATACATACAGTGGTCAGTACTGATAGCATACACACACAGTGGTCAGTACTGATAGCATACATACAGTCGTCAGTATTGATAGCATACACACACAGTGGTCAGTACTGTTAGCATACACACACAGTGGTCAGTACTGATAGCATACACACACAGTGGTCAGTACTGATAGCATACATACAGTGGTCAGTACTGATAGCATACACACACAGTGGTCAGTACTGATAGCATACACACACAGTGGTCAGTACTGATAGCATACACACACAGTGGTCAGTACTGATAGCATACACACACAGTGGTCAGTACTGATAGCATACACACAGTGGTCAGTACTGGTAGCATACACACAGTGGTCAGTACTGATAGCATACACACACAGTGGTCAGTACTGATAGCATACACACACAGTGGTCAGTACTGATAGCATATACACACAGTGGTCAGTACTGATAGCATACACACACAGTGGTCAGTACTGATAGCATACACACACAGTGGTCAGTACTGATAGCATACATACAGTGGTCAGTACTGATAGCATACACACACAGTGGTCAGTACTGATAGCATACACACACAGTGGTCAGTACTGATAGCATACATACAGTGGTCAGTACTGATAGCATACACACACAGTGGTCAGTACTGATAGCATACACACACAGTGGTCAGTACTGATAGCATACACACACAGTGGTCAGTACTGATAGCATACACACAGTGGTCAGTACTGGTAGCATACACACAGTGGTCAGTACTGATAGCATACACACACAGTGGTCAGTACTGATAGCATACACACACAGTGGTCAGTACTGATAGCATATACACACAGTGGTCAGTACTGATAGCATACACACACAGTGGTCAGTACTGATAGCATACACACACAGTGGTCAGTACTGATAGCATACATACAGTGGTCAGTACTGATAGCATACACACACAGTGGTCAGTACTGTTAGCATACACACACAGTGGTCAGTACTGATAGCATACATACAGTGGTCAGTACTGATAGCATACACACACAGTGGTCAGTACTGATAGCATACACACACAGTGGTCAGTACTGATAGCATACACACACAGTGGTCAGTACTGATAGCATACATACAGTGGTCAGTACTGATAGCATACACACACAGTGGTCAGTACTGATAGCATACATACACACAGTGGTCAGTACTGATAGCATACACACACAGTGGTCAGTACTGATAGCATACACACACAGTGGTCAGTACTGATAGCATACAGACAGTGGTCAGTACTGATAGCATACACACACAATGGTCAGTACTGATAGCATACACACACAGTGGTCAGTACTGATAGCATATACACACAGTGGCCAGTACTGATAGCATACACACACAGTGGTCAGTACTGATAGCATACATACAGTGGTCAGTATTGATAGCATACACACACAGTGGTCAGTACTGTTAGCATACACACACAGTGGTCAGTACTGATAGCATATACACACAGTGGTCAGTACTGATAGCATACACACACAGTGGTCAGTACTGATAGCATACACACACAATGGTCAGTACTAATAGCTTACAGAGTGGTCTATACATGTAACATACAGTGGTCTGTGCATGTAACACAGTGGTCTGTGCATGTAACATACAGTGGTCTGTACAGGTAAGATACAGTGGTCTACACATGTAACATACAGTGGTCTGTACATGTAACACAGTGGTCTGTGCATGTAACATACAGTGGTCTGTGCATGTAACATACAGAGTGGTCTGTGCATGTAACATACAGTGGTCTGTACATGTGACATACAGAGTGGTCTGTACATGTAACATACAGTGGTCTGTGCATGTAACATACAGAGTGGTCTGTACATATAATATACAGAGTGGTCTGTACATGTTACATACAGTGGTCTGTACAAGTAACATACATAGTGGTCTGTACATGAATCATACAGTGGTCTGTGCATGTAACATACAGTGGTCTGTACATGTAACATACAGAGTGGTCTTTACATGTAATATACAGAGTGGTCTGTACATGTAACATACAGTGGTCTGTACAAGTAACATAAGGAGTGGTTTGTGCATGTAACATACAGTGGTCTGTGCATGTAACATACAGTGGTCTACACATGTAACATACAGAGTGGTTTGTGCATGTAACATACAGAGTGGTCTGTGCATGTTACAGAGTGGTCTGTACATGTAACATACAGTGGTCTGTGCATGTAAGATACAGTGGTCTGTACATGTAACATACAGAGTGGTCTGTACATGTAATATACAGAGTGGTCTGTACATGTAACATACAGTGGTCTGTACAAGTAACATACAGTGGTCTGTACATGTAACATACAGTGGTCTGTACATGAATCATACAGTGGTCTGTACATGTAACATACAGAGTGGTCTGTACATGTAACATACAGTGGTCTATACATGTAACAGACAGAGTGGTCTTTGCATGTAAGATACAGTGGTCTGTACATGTAACATACAGAGTGGTCTGTACATGTAAAATACAGAGTGGTCTGTACATGTAACATACAGTGGTCTGTACAAGTAACATACAGTGGTCTGTACATGTAACATACAGTGGTCTGTACATGAATCATACAGTGGTCTGTACATGTAACATACAGAGTGGTCTGTACATGTAACATACAGTGGTCTATACATGTAACAGACAGAGTGGTCTTTGCATGTAACATACAGTGGTCTGTGTATGTAACATACAGTGGTCTGTACATGTAACATACAGAGTGGTCTGTACATGTAACATACAGAGTGGTCTGTACATGAAACATACAGTGGTCTGTACATGTAACATACAGAGTGGTCTTTGCATGTAACAGAGTGGTCTGTGCATGTAACATACAGTGGTCTGTACATGTAACATACAGAGTGGTCTCTGCATGTAACAGAGTGGTCTGTACATGTAACATACAGTGGTCTACACATGTAACAGAGTGGTCTGTACATGTAACATACAGTGGTCTGTGCATGTAATGTACAGTGGTCTTTACATGTAATATACAGAGTGGTCTGTACATGTAACATACAGTGGTCTGTACAAGTAACATAAGGAGTGGTCTTTGCATGTAACAGAGTGGTCTGTACATGTAACATACAGTGGTCTGTGTATGTAACATACAGTGGTCTGTACATGTAACAGAGTGGTCTGTACATGTAACATACAGTGGTATGTGCATGTAATATACAGTGGTCTATACATGTAACATACAGTGGTCTGTACATGTAACATACAGAGTGGTCTGTGTTTGTAACATACAGTGGTCTGTGCATGTAACATACAGTGGTCTGTGTATGTCACATACAGTGGTCTGTACATGTAACATACAGTGGTCTATACATATAACATACAGTGGTCTGTACATGTAAGATACAGTGGTCTGTACATGTAACAGAGTGGTCTGTACATGTAACATACAGAGTGGTCTTTGCATGTAACAGAGTGGTCTCTACATGTAACATACAGTGGTCTGTACATGTAAGATACAGTGGTCTGTACATGTAACAGAGTGGTCTGTACATGTAACATACAGTGGTATGTGCATGTAATATACAGTGGTCTATACATGTAACATACAGTGGTCTGTACATGTAACATACAGAGTGGTCTGTGTTTGTAACATACAGTGGTCTGTGCATGTAACATACAGTGGTCTGTGTATGTCACATACAGTGGTCTGTACAAGTAACATACAGTGGTCTGTACATGTAACATACAGTGGTCTGTACATGAATCATACAGTGGTCTGTACATGTAACATACAGAGTGGTCTGTACATGTAACATACAGTGGTCTATACATGTAACAGACAGAGTGGTCTTTGCATGTAAGATACAGTGGTCTGTACATGTAACATACAGAGTGGTCTGTACATGTAATATACAGAGTGGTCTGTACATGTAACATACAGTGGTCTGTACAAGTAACATACAGTGGTCTGTACATGTAACATACAGTGGTCTGTACATGAATCATACAGTGGTCTGTACATGTAACATACAGAGTGGTCTGTACATGTAACATACAGTGGTCTATACATGTAACAGACAGAGTGGTCTTTGCATGTAACATACAGTGGTCTGTGTATGTAACATACAGTTTTTCTGTACATGTAACATACAGAGTGGTCTGTACATGTAACATACAGAGTGGTCTGTACATGAAACATACAGTGGTCTGTACATGTAACATACAGAGTGGTCTTTGCATGTAACAGAGTGGTCTGTGCATGTAACATACAGTGGTCTGTACATGTAACATACAGAGTGGTCTCTGCATGTAACAGAGTGGTCTGTACATGTAACATACAGTGGTCTACACATGTAACAGAGTGGTCTGTACATGTAACATACAGTGGTCTGTGCATGTAACGTACAGTGGTCTTTACATGTAATATACAGAGTGGTCTGTACATGTAACATACAGTGGTCTGTACATGTAACATAAGGAGTCGTCTTTGCATGTAACAGAGTGGTCTGTACATGTAACATACAGTGGTCTGTGTATGTAACATACAGTGGTCTGTACATGTAACAGAGTGGTCTGTACATGTAACATACAGTGGTATGTGCATGTAATATACAGTGGTCTATACATGTAACATACAGTGGTCTGTACATGTAACATACAGAGTGGTCTGTGTTTGTAACATACAGTGGTCTGTGCATGTAACATACAGTGGTCTGTGTATGTCACATACAGTGGTCTGTACATGTAACATACAGTGGTCTATACATATAACATACAGTGGTCTGTACATGTAAGATACAGTGGTCTGTACATGTAACAGAGTGGTCTGTACATGTAACATACAGAGTGGTCTTTGCATGTAACAGAGTGGTCTCTACATGTAACATACAGTGGTCTGTACATGTAAGATACAGTGGTCTGTACATGTAACATACAGAGTGGTCTGTACATGTAACATACAGAGTGGTCTCTACTTGTAACATACAGTGGTCTGTACATGTAAGATACAGTGGTCTGTACATGTAACATACAGAGTGGTCTGTACATGTAACATACAGAGTGGTCTTTGCATGTAACATACAGAGTGGTCTTTGCATGTAACATACAGTGGGCTGTACATGTAACATACAGTGTAATGAGTACATGTAACATTGTTGTAGGAAGGACAAGACATTGGTGGCCTATCAAGCCCAGGTCAGTTGTGTCATGAGGATGAAACATGAGATTCTGCAACTCAAGGCAATTGTAAGTAGGAGTTGTCTAGCGAGGGCTGACTGACAGGTTCTGAGATTCACATAGAAGGACCTGGATAATAGTGAAATCATGTGTTGTGGACTTTATATGTCATAGAGCTCTCTGCAAGAACTTGAGTCAACTGAGTAAACTGCTTCACTGTGACAAGTCAGTAAACAAGCAGGGGTCTGTTGTCTTTGGAAATGGTGTAACTAGAGGAACGTACAGTCATCAAGAAGAAAAGAGGCTCAACACCAAAGTCCATCCATGAAGAGATATGAGTAGAAAACTTTGGAAGGATGCCTCTTCTAATACCACACTAAAGAGGTGGGCAGCAGAGTTTAAACATCACAGGGAGAGCCTTAAAGACCACCTGCAGTCATCGAAGCCTGTCAACATTATCACAGAAACCTTTTCAGAACTCACTTTTTCCTGATCTGGCTCCATCTGACTTCCACTTGTTCCAAAGCATAAAGAAAACTCTCGCCGAACCAATGTTGACTTAAACAGTGCCACCATAGCAGGTGTGGAGAACCTATTGGATAGCCAAGAGAAGATCTTTTATGAGACTGGGAAAAGACCCTCCAACATCATTTGAAAAAATGTATCAGTGTGAAAGGGGATTATGTTTAAAAATAAATCATTTAATGTCTTTAGGTCAAGTCTTTCTATGTGAGGCTCAGAACATAGTATATCACCCTTGTACATAATGTTTGTAAACAGTGCCTTCTCAGCATACTATACGGCATAACAATGATGAAAGCATATGTGACCATAAAAAACATCAACATTCCTTGTATATATGTATGTTTCACATTTCTTGTAGATATATATGCTTCACATTTCTTGTAGCTATATATGTATGTTTCACATTTCTTGTAGATATATATGCTTCACATTTCTTGTAGCTATATATATATGCTTCACATTTCTTGTAGCTATATATATATGCTTCACATTTCTTGTAGCTATATATATGCTTCACATTTCTTGTAGATATATATGCTTCACATTTCTTGTAGATATATATGCTTCACATTTCTTGTAGATATATATGCTTCACATTTCTTGTAGATATATATGCTTCACATTTCTTGTAGATATTTATGCTTCACATTTCTTGTAGATATATATGCTTCACATTTCTTGTAGATATATGTGCTTCACATTTCTTGTAGATATATGTGCTTCACACTTCTTGTAAATTTATTTTCAGGTGAAGTCTCAGTCGGACCTGATGACCAAATTAGCAATGGAAAATGATAAACTGCAAAAAGAAAAGGCTACTGTAGGTCAGTCAAACTTCAAGTTCGGTAGTTTTTTATCCCAAAGTTTTTCAAAAAGATTTCTGAACTGAAACTGCTGAATATTTCTTATAATAACATTCTATACAGATCAGGCTAGGCATGAATTGATGATTTGGTATTTTTATTTTTTGTATTATTTTTGTCATGATGACAAGGTTGACTTTATACTGAACATGAGAGTAGTGCTGGTTTCCGGAGCAGAACTCCAAACCAGTTGAATATTTCTAGATCAAACTTGGTATGCAGATCAGTCTAGTGTTGAACTGGTGCCTTTTGATAATTTGGGATTTTTATTGTTTTCATTTTTGTATGTTTTCGTGATGACAAGTTGGACTTATACTGAAAAAGAGGTAATTCGTAGTGCTCATTTCCACAGCAAAACTCCAAACCGTTGAATATTTATAGATGAAACTTGCTATTACAGATCAGTATAGTGGTGAAGTGGTGCCTTTGTTGATTTGGGATGTTGTAACTTACTGAACAGCATTATTTCTTCACTGAACTGAAGGTATCCAATGGAAATAGATATAAGTATATAAGTAGCCTTATAAACCTCAGAGTGTTCATTTGTATTGATCGTTAGGTTTCTTCAAACTTGAGAAAGACCCACATGAGGTTTTACTTGCGTAGAAAACCCGGGACTTACTGTGGAAGACCCGGGGACTTGATTTTCATCGTTATAAAAAGTTACATATTTCAGATCAAGTCCCTGGGTCTTCCACAGTAAGGCCCCAGGACTTCCATACCCTTTATTTTTTTAAAAAAAACCCGCAATACTAGATTTTCTTCACTTTAATTGAAGTTGACATTTACAACGATACACAAATTCATCTTCATCGGGCCGTTCTTCGTCACAGTCATCTGCATTTTTAGGTTTCATTGTGTGAGAAATAAATCGTCAACTTCCTCTCTCTCCCACATCTTGCCACTAAATGAAACTCGACTGTAAGCTGTCCACATTATGACGGAGACGCTCACGGGCAATGCGTGCGTGCATGACCAGCACATGCATGACACCTGTAGTCGTCACTCAACATAGCTCAGGGATGCGTTTATAGTCTCGTTATATCGCATATATAGATCCTCGTTATTGCGTATCTCAATTAGAATTAACTTTGTCGGTTTATAAGTCAGATAAAACACTTATCCTCGGTTTTGGTTGAAAATGTAAACCCGCCTGGTCGGAAAGAAATGATGATTTGGTATTTTTATTTTTTGTATTATTTTTGTCATGATGACAAGGTTGACTTTATACTGAACATGAGAGTAGTGCTGGTTTCCGGAGCAGAACTCCAAACCAGTTGAATATTTCTAGATCAAACTTGGTATGCAGATCAGTCTAGTGTTGAACTGGTGCCTTTTGATAATTTGGGATTTTTATTGTTTTCATTTTTGTATGTTTTCGTGATGACAAGTTGGACTTATACTGAAAAAGAGGTAATTCGTAGTGCTCATTTCCACAGCAAAACTCCAAACCGTTGAATATTTATAGATGAAACTTGCTATTACAGATCAGTATAGTGGTGAAGTGGTGCCTTTGTTGATTTGGGATGTTGTAACTTACTGAACAGCATTATTTCTTCACTGAACTGAAGGTATCCAATGGAAATAGATATAAGTATATAAGTAGCCTTATAAACCTCAGAGTGTTCATTTGTATTGATCGTTAGGTTTCTTCAAACTTGAGAAAGACCCACATGAGGTTTTACTTGCGTAGAAAACCCGGGACTTACTGTGGAAGACCCGGGGACTTGATTTTCATCGTTATAAAAAGTTACATATTTCAGATCAAGTCCCTGGGTCTTCCACAGTAAGGCCCCAGGACTTCCATACCCTTAATTTTTAAAAAACAAACCGCAATACTAGATTTTCTTCACTTTAATTGAAGTTGACATTTACAACGATACACAAATTCATCTTCATCGGGCCGTTCTTCGTCACAGTCATCTGCATTTTTAGGTTTCATTGTGTGAGAAATAAATCGTCAACTTCCTCTCTCTCCCACATCTTGCCACTAAATGAAACTCGACTGTAAGCTGTCCACATTATGACGGAGACGCTCACGGGCAATGCGTGCGTGCATGACCAGCACATGCATGACACCTGTAGTCGTCACTCAACATAGCTCAGGGATGCGTTTATAGTCTCGTTATATCGCATATATAGATCCTCGTTATTGCGTATCTCAATTAGAATTAACTTTGTCGGTTTATAAGTCAGATAAAACACTTATCCTCGGTTTTGGTTGAAAATGTAAACCCGCCTGGTCGGAAAGATCCTGCGGGCCTTCAGCCCTTAGGATCTTCCCTCCAAGGCGGGTTTACATTTTCAACCAAAACCTCGGAACGTGTTTTATCCTTCACAAATTCCATTTCGGAGTTGCAGCAGAATGAGAGGTGAAATTTCCTGATGACTCTTGTTTACTTTGCATTAGGAAATATGTAACAATTGCACTTGATGGCTATGACACAGTTATTTATGTTACAGAGAAGGACTTCAATCCGGACATCCTGTCTAAACCTGTCACTGACTGTAACATCACCATGTAACATGTTTCAGTTGAAATAATGACCAATGACCTCGGCATTAGCTGTGATGACCTGTCGAACACATGCACGAAACAGGTTATCACAGCTAATGTCAAGGTCATTGTATAACCCACCTTTTGTTACTGAGAAAGACTTTTTGCGTACTATCTATCCAGACCTATCACTGAGTGTAAGGTCACTATATAACCTATGACTTGCCGGGGTATGTTACAGAGAAGGACTTCATTGCATACCGCCTCTCTACTGCCAGAGTTGCCTTCCACACTGGTGATATGTTGACTGATGATAACCAAGGTAGGCTTCTGCTGCTCTTCATTATCTGTTGGAGGGTAGCAACATTTTCAGCCAAAATGATTAGGAAGACCATAAGCTTGAGAGAATATTTTGAATATATTCTATCAGTTTCGTCAAAATTATCAGATTACCTTTGAAAGAAGGTGTATTTGTTGACACTTTATTCTGTTTACAATATAACATATATGTAATATATATGTATATAGGTGAGCAGCACTGCTATTGCTCTATATATGTGTGAATTTGCTTTCATAATAATGATAAAAAAACTTTATCTTCAGTTTCTTTACAATTGAAAAAGTTTTATGAAGAATGTTGTTTTTTGTTTATTGTTAAAATTTAACGCCGCACTCAGCAGCAATATTCCAGCTATATGACGGCAGTCTGTAAATAATCAAGCCTGGACCAGACTATCCAGTGATTGACATCATGAGCATTGATCCACGCAACTGGGATACTATGACAAGCATCAACCAAGTCAGCAAGTCTGACCACCCAATCCCGCTATTCGCCTCTTACGACAAGAGTAGTTGTCTCTTACAGCAAGCATGGGTTACTGAAGATCAATTCAAACCCGTATCTTCACAGGTTTTATGAAGAATGTAAATTATCATGCAGACTGCTCTAATACCTGAGGGCGTCTGGGTAGTCCAGTGGTCAAAGCAATCACCATAGAATGTGTGGGGAACTTTTCTGGGGTTCCTCTCCATGATATTGTTGAAGTCGGTTTTTCAATTCATACATCAATATTTTATATTTGAATTGTAAGACCTAGGTTTTACAGTTGAATAAACAGCCTTTAAATATGCATCTAATTTTTAGTTTTGACTGATTAAACTACATATTATGCTGGGTGGTATGATGCTGTCTGATGCTGTGACAGAAGGAGATGAAGACATCTGTACGGACACACTGATACAGGGCCTGCAGCAGCAGCTGGACATGATGGATGCAAGCCTGAACAACCGCAGTCTACACATGGTCAGCCCTGAGAAGACTGGGGACAAGCACATGGTCACATCTATAGGTCAGTATTGACACCCATTCCCCCGATAAGTATTAGCACACATGCAGCTGTTGTTGTTAATTTGTTTGACGTGTTGGTCCAGGTGTTGTAGGAGTACCATCAGTATGTTTGATGTGTTGATGCAGGTGTGGTAGGACTACCATCAGTATGTTTGATGTGTTGGTCCAGGTGTGGTAGGACTACCATCAGTATGTTTGACGTGTTGGTCCAGGTGTGGTAGGACTACCATCAGTATGTTTGATGTGTTGATGCAGGTGTGGTAGGACTACCATCAGTATGTTTGATGTGTTGGTCCAGGTGTGGTAGGACTACCATCAGTATGTTTGACGTGTTGATGCAGGTGTGGTAGGACTACCATCAGTATGTTTGATGTGTTGGTCCAGGTGTGGAAGGAGTACCATCAGTATGTTTGATGTGTTGATGCAGGTGTGGTAGGACTACCATCAGTATGTTTGATGTGTTGGTCCAGGTGTGGTAGGAGTACCATCAGTATGTTTGATGTGTTGATGCAGGTGTGGTAGGACTACCATCAGTATGTTTGATGTGTTGATGCAGGTGTGGTAGGAGTACCATCAGTATGTTTGATGTGTTGATGCAGGTGTGGTAGGAGTACCATCAGTATGTTTGATGTGTTGATGCAGGTGTGGTAGGACTACCATCAGTATGTTTGATGTGTTGGTCCAGGTGTGGTAGGAGTACCATCAGTATGTTTGACGTGTTGGTCCAGGTGTGGTAGGACTACCATCAGTATGTTTGATGTTTTGGTCCAGGTGTGGTAGGAGTACCATCATTATGTTTGATGTGTTGATGCAGGTGTGGTAGGACTACCATCAGTATGTTTGATGTGTTGGTCCAGGTGTGGTAGGAGTACCATCAGTATGTTTGACGTGTTGGTCCAGGTGTGGTAGAACTACCATCAGTATGTTTGACGTGTTGGTCCAGGTGTGGTAGGACTACCATCAGTATGTTTGATTTGTTGGTCCAGGTGTGGTAGGAGTACCATCAGTATGTTTGATGTGTTGGTCCAGGTGTGGTAGGAGTACCATCAGTATGTTTGACGAGTTGGTCCAGGTGTGGTAGGAGTACCATCAGTATGTTTGACTTGTTGGTCCAGGTGTGGTAGGAGTACCATCAGTATGTTTGATGTGTTGGTCCAGGTGTGGTAGGAGTACCATCAGTATGTTTGATGTGTTGATGCAGGTGTGGTAGGAGTACCATCAGCATGTTTGATGTGTTGGTCCAGGTGTGGTAGAACTACCATCAGTATGTTTGATGTGTTGGTCCAGGTGTGGTAGGAGTACCATCAGTATGTTTGATGTGTTGATGCAGGTGTGGTAGGAGTACATTCAGCATGTTTGATGTGTTGGTCCAGGTGTGGTAGAACTACCATCAGTATGTTTGATGTGTTGGTCCAGGTGTGGTAGGACTACCATCAGTATGTTTGATGTGTTGATGCAGGTGTGGTAGGAGTACCATCAGCATGTTTGATGTGTTGGTCCAGGTGTGGTAGAACTACCATCAGTATGTTTGATGTGTTGGTCCAGGTGTGGTAGGACTACCATCAGTATGTTTGATGTGTTGGTCCAGGTGTGGTAGGACTACCATCAGTATGTTTGATGTGTTGGTCCAGGTGTGGTAGAACTACCATCAGTATGTTAGATGTGTTGATGCAGGTGTGGTAGGACTACCATCAGTATGTTTGATGTGTTGATGCAGGTGACAGCTCCTACCTTTCCTTCCCCTGTCCCCGTGTGCGGAGCCAGCAGGATCCCAATAACCACAGTAAGGATTCCACCATGTTCTGTGATGTAACACAACAGTTCCAGGAAGGAATGAAGGCAGACAAGACTATCAGGAATACTTATGAGGTCACCTCTATAACTAAGGTAAGACTTTACACTTACTGTAGGCATTCGTTCTGCCATTGTCCTTACAAAACACATTAAAAGTTATTATTGAATCAAAATGTCAGTCATAGACACATTGCCATACAGTAGTAATGCTAGCCCAAACTGCTCATGTCACAATCCTGGAATGTATGTACACAGGCTGTGCTTCCTGATTTGGTAAAAAAGGCATACCAGTCGCGTCGTGACCACCTTGGTGATGGCAGCATGGTGACTGAACTATACTACTGTGGATCTCTGCAGAGACCTGAACGGATACAGGAGATACTGGACTCCGGCTTCTCGGATGCAGGTAGGTCGGCCATGTCGATGTGTCACAGGATTTTGCCAGGTCCCTACCATCAGGAGACATGGGCCCTGAAACAGTGCATTGTTCCTCATGCTATCCTTGCAGAAGGGTTCCATTGTATAGGGTACTACAGGCATGCCGACATGTCCATTCTAAAGTGCACAAAACCAGTTAGGAAGTCTAGATTACACAAATCTGCAAAGGAACCAGGTTCATGCATTGTGGAATAGGCTCGTCCTGGCTACAGTGAGGTACATTGCCAAGCTATTTTGGTTAGTCTTTAAGAGGCATGATCAGACCAAGAGTGCATACCCGGTATAATATTTTCATTTGAGATATTTTAAATACAGGCATTAAAAAGCTTTTGCTTGTTGTACTTTTTGCTCCTAATAATTGTCTTACAGTTCACCCAGTTCTGTCAGTTTTATTCGCTGATAGATTCAGTAAACTGCAGGTAAGCTTCAGATTCAAATGGCTGTATTGTCATTCTTTCTCACAGATTTCTCGTATGGAGAGTATGGGAGGGGTCTGTATTTCTCCAAGTATCCGTCCAAGGCTGCCCAATTTTCTGCTGTAAGTAATACATGTAATTCATATCCCCAGCTTCAACTAGATGCTGCATGATGAGATGTAAGTTGGTGAGGTGTGTGTTGTTTATTGTAGCCAATTGCTGCGTAATGAGATGTAAGTTGGTGAGGTGTGTATTGTTTATTGTAGCCAATTGCTGCATGATGAGATGTAAGTTGGTGAGGTGTGTGTTGTTTAGTGTAGCCAATTGCTGCGTAATGGGATGTTAGTTGGTGAGGTGTGTGTTGTTTAGTGTAGCCAATTGCTGCTTAATGAGATGTAAGTTGGTGAGGTGTGTGTTGTTTAGTGTAGCCAATTGCTGCGTAATGGGATGTAAGTTGGTGAGGTGTGTGTTGTTTAGTGAAGCCAATTGCTGCATGATGAGATGTAAGTTGGTGAGGTGTGTGTTGTTTATTGTAGCCAATTGCTGCGTAATGAGATGTAAGTTGGTGAGGTGTGTATTGTTTATTGTAGCCAATTGCTGCATGATGAGATGTAAGTTGGTGAGGTGTGTGTTGTTTAGTGTAGCCAATTGCTGCGTAATGGGATGTTAGTTGGTGAGGTGTGTGTTGTTTAGTGTAGCCAATTGCTGCGTAATGAGATGTAAGTTGGTGAGGTGTGTGTTGTTTAGTGTAGCCAATTGCTGCGTAATGGGATGTAAGTTGGTGAGGTGTGTGTTGTTTATTGGAGCCAATTGCTGCATGATGAGATGTAAGTTGGTGAGGTGTGTGTTGTTTAGTGAAGCCAATTGCTGCGTAATGGGATGTAAGTTGGTGAGGTGTGTGTTGTTTATTGGAGCCAATTGCTGCATGATGAGATGTAAGTTGGTGAGGTGTGTGTTGTTTATTGTAGCCAATTGCTGCGTAATGAGATGTAAGTTGGTGAGGTGTGTATTGTTTATTGTAGCCAATTGCTGCACGATGAGATGTAAGTTGGTGAGGTATGTGTTGTTTATTGTAGCCAATTGCTGCGTAATGAGATGTAAGTTGGTGAGGTGTGTGTTGTTTATTGTAGCCAATTGCTGCGTAATGAGATGTAAGTTGGTGAGGTGTGTGTTGTTTATTGTAGCCAATTGCTGCATGATGAGATGTAAGTTGGTGAGGTATGTGTTGTTTATTGTAGCCAATTGCTGCATGATGAGATGTAAGTTGGTGAGGTGTGTGTTGTTTATTGTAGCCAATTGCTGCATGATGAGATGTAAGTTGGTGAGGTGTGTGTTGTTTATTGTAGCCAATTGCTGCGTAATGAGATGTAAGTTGGTGAGGTGTGTGTTGTTTATTGTAGCCAATTGCTGCATGATGAGATGTAAGTTGGTGAGGTGTGTGTTGTTTATTGTAGCCAATTGCTGCGTAATGAGATGTAAGTTGGTGAGGTGTGTGTTGTTTATTGTAGCCAATTGCTGCGTAATGAGATGTAAGTTGGTGAGGTGTGTGTTGTTTATTGTAGCCAATTGCTGCGTAATGAGATGTAAGTTGGTGAGGTGTGTGTTGTTTATTGTATCCAATTGCTGCATGATGAGATGTAAGTTGGTGAGGTGTGTGTTGTTTATTGTAGCCAATTGCTGCGTAATGGGATGTAAGTTGGTGAGGTGTGTGTTGTTTAGTGTAGCCAATTGCTGCGTAATGAGATGTAAGTTGGTGAGGTGTGTGTTTCAGTTCTCCCGCCTGGTCCTGGTGGAGGTGGGGCTGGGCAAGGTGGAGACAGTCACAAAGCAGGACCGGACACGCCAACATTGCAGCCAAAACTTTGATTCTATCATAGTATGTATTTAACCGAATAAGCACATTGTGTCTAACTAACATTTCAGGCTGTCTGCACACAACTTTCCTCAGTAATTGCATGACAAGTCAGATTTTTTTTACCAGAGGATAGATGTGCATGCATCACAGTTGTTTTCACCTTGATATTCACAATGACATGCAGAAATAAATGCAGAGTTTCGTTCTTTGAGGACCATATATTTATGCACTCTTAAGGACATAAGCCTACTTTGTGTTCAATATAGATGTTTTCAATGTAGATTTCATTGTGTTGAATTGAATTTGAAAAACTGATATGCCAAATATGACAAGTAGATGTAATTCACTGTAATTCCTTCGATGAACATGTCACAGACTGGGCATGTTGTGACTGTTTAGAGGAATGGAGTTTCTCAGTAAACGTTCTATCAGTTCACAGTCTGTGGACCATCTTGATCATGCTTATCCATGGTTGTTTACTTTAGACCCCTGGCAGATTGCGGAAGGATGACTGTGACCCTGAGCCAACTCTACTCCAGGAGTATGTGGTGTTCGACCTTACCCAGGTGCTGCCACTATGTCTCATCTCCTATGAGACAGCGCTGTAAGTGTCCAAGCTGCTAGTGACATCTCAGGACTACTCAGCCCTTCAACATTACACTTGCAGTAGTGGATTCCATCCAGGCTTTCTTTCAGTGTTGTAGACAGATGCTACCTGTGATCTCTGTGTTGTCAGGTTGTGAACTCTTGTGATGTAACCAAGCATCAACCTGTGCCTCACATGTTCCTACTGTTGTTCACTTCACTGTGCCTTTGTCAACATGCGTCTACTGGCACAACATCACAAGACAAGCTTCTCAAGAAACAAGTTTCAGTTTACATCTAATCAGTATGTTTTTGTGAATACATTAGTTGATTAAACCCAATGTTACAATCATATAATTAATGCCTCTGTTTCCGAGTGGCTGGGTGTTATGCATACATCAGTACCGTATATAAAGTCATTCTCTCTGGGATGAGGAGGAGGAAGGGCTATCTTTGTCCATGACTAGATTCATGTGCTGTTTTGGGGGTATTTTCGATGGCTTCATGTTTAGGAGACATTCTAATTCCATTATGTCAGATAATTCACTTATTCAATATTCACATGAACATTTGCAGTGACATGCTTCATGTGTAAAGACACATAACACCCTCTACTGTGATATCTGTATCTTGTCATTGTCCATAAAGAGTCCCTAGACAGGTGTGATGTGTGAATTTAGTTACCCAGTAGCCGGTGCCTTCTGGTAATGTAACTGTACATGATCTAGTGTGTCCCATGATGCAGCTTTTCACTGGAAGTACAGGAATAGTCTTGTATTGTAAGGTGATAATGATGTTAAATGATGTTATAATTATCAGCTTTTCATATTACCCATTTCCGTTCATGTAATCATAGAACAGTGATCTATGTTTTTAACAGCCAAATCATGCATCTGCCCATTTCGTTGTTGGGTGTGGGTCTACTCATAGAGAGAATGTCCATCCTCGCAAGCTAGTAGTAGTACTGTGTGGTGTGTGGGTCTTCTCAGAGATCTGTATGTCCGTCCTCGCAAGCTAGTCATAGTACTGTGTGGTGTGTGGGTCTTCTCAGAGATCTGTATGTCCATCCTCGCAAGCTAGTCGTAGTACTGTGTGTTGTGGGTCTTCTCAGAGATCTGTATGTCCATCCTCGCAAGCTAGTCGTAGTACTGTGTGGTGTGGGTCTTCTTAGAGCTCTGTATGTCCATCCTCGCAAGCTGGTCGTAGTACTGTGTGGTGTGGGTCTTCTCAGAGATCTGTATGTCCATCCTCGCAAGCTAGTCGTAGTACTGTGTGGTGTGGGTCTTCTCAGAGATCTGTATGTCCATCCTCGCAAGCTAGTCGTTGTACTGTGTGGTGTGTGGGTCTTCTCAGAAATCTGTATGTCCATCCTCGCAAGCTAGTCGTAGTACTGTGTGGTGTGTGGGTCTTCTCAGAGATCTGTATGTCCATCCTCGCAAGCTAGTCGTAGTACTGTGTGGTGTGTGGGTCTTCTCAGAGATCTGTATGTCCATCCTCGCAAGCTAGTCGTAGTACTGTGTGGTGTGGGTCTTCTCAGAGATCTGTATGTCCATCCTCGCAAGCTAGTCGTAGTACTGTGTGGTGTGGGTCTTCTTAGAGATCTGTATGTCCATCCTCGCAAGCTAGTCGTGGTACTGTGAGGTGTGGGTCTTCTCAGAGATCTGTATGTCCATCCTCACAAGCTAGTCGTAGTACTGTGTGGTGTGGGTCTTCTCAGAGATCTGTATGTCCATCCTCGCAAGCTAGTCGTAGTATTGTGTGGTGTGGGTCTTCTCAGAAATCTGTATGTCCGTCCTCGCAAGCTAGCCGTAGTACTGTGTGGTGTGGGTCTTCTTAGAGATCTGTATGTCCCTCCTCGCAAGCAAGTCGTAGTACTGTGTGGTGTGGGTCTTCTTAGAGATCTGTATGTCCATCCTCTCAAGCTAAAACTGTGTGATGTGGGTCTTCTCAGAGATCTGTATGTCCGTCCTCTCAAGTTAGTACTGTGTGATGTCCGTCCTCTCGAACTAGTACTATGTGGTGTGTGGGTCTTCTTTCCTCTCAAGCTAGTACTGTGTGGTGTGTGGGTCTTCTCAGAGATCTGTATGTCCTTAGATGTCTTATAGTGCACAGCACATGCCTGTGTTCATTCTTCCAAGTGATAATACCAGTAACCAAACAATGACGATTTAGCTTGTCATGGTGTTGCTGTTGTGATTTGTGTTATCATAGTATAACTAACTCTTGCCAAATGTGATGTCTCCCTGCTAACTTATTCCATGTCTGTGAGCAGAGATTGCCACTTAATCTGTGATATTTTACTTGTCAACATTCTAGTACGTAGTAATGATGTGATCATGTTTTCCATTCTTTTATCACCTCCTATGCAGAGTGAGAAGAGGTTTGTCTGGGTAGCTGGGATACAACAGTACTTTTCTGGTTTAAAACAGGATTCAGGAGGTACACATCCACATGCACAGGCAGACAGATACTCTGCACACTGCTTACTGTTAAAACATTGGGAAATCAGTTGCAGCAGATGGTCCACTTATTTTATGCTGTTGTTACATTGTTTGTTTACAAGATTGCAGCTACCATATAAACACATTCCAAAGAGGAATAGATAGGAACTTATTCCATATTAATTTGTTAATAAAATCCTTGATTACTAAGTGTTAATTTTGTTTTATATGTGTTTCATAAGATACCAACAACTCGACCACTTATAATCACCACAAAGCCACACAAGGACTTCCCAGTTATGTGCCATAACACATGGCACCTTTGAAGCCCAGACCTGGCAACAACATGACTGCTGCTGTAACAGAATGACAGTGGATGCCTTGGGTGCCATGTGTACAAACCCTCTACCCCAATGCCCATGGACTGTGTCATCTGCTGTCACAGCTGGACAGCTGGAGTACAAATAAACACCACATTGGCATTATATGTAGCTATGTAAGGCCAGGTTAGCTTAGGTTTCATGTCAATTTTAGATACGTCAGAAATAAATAAAGCATTAGATCTCTGCATTCTTTCCATGGACATCCCTCCTGTCCATTGTGTAGTGACCTATTTTGTTCTCTTTGTTTTCAGTTCAGTATCAACCCAACCATTCACACCTAAAGTAAGTGATCTCCTCAAACATATGTGTAATCCTGCTTACAAGATATGCCTGACAGAAACCTTTAAAACTAAATACACAATAGATAGTAAGCTGACCATAGAAACTAAAGCAGAAAGATAAAAGAAACTTGTGCACAGTGCAGGCGCATGTCTGTTGTTAAATCAGGATGCAGGATGCAGGGTTAGGCTTATTTTATTGAGGGCTTGTATGACTCTTCGGGTTTGTAGTGTACTGTATGTAAAGTTAAAAGCTGAAATGAAACATCTAAAATATCTAACTAATATGGACAAATACTTGAAACTTGACTTGGTCACACAATGACTGATAATATCATTTATATATTATTAACTCTGAGTCTTTGCCCAGAATATACACATACTCCAAAAGACTCAAAAGAGTTGTTCCTGTTATTCTGCGATGCCCCCAAATGAGATTATGAGGTGTAAGTAGTATAATGTAATAACCCAGTACCCCTATCTGATGTTGAGTTGTAGTTAAAGCCAACTTGTTAGATCTGGAAATGAAACATGGTCATTACATGTATTCACTAGTGTGGGATTAGCTGACTGGTGCTTGTGTATAACCCTGTTTAAGTGAAACCTGGTTAATCTGGATATTACATTCACTGTGGTTCTGTTTTCTTCTCGACTTCTTGTGCATAGGTCTCAATGAACCATGCAGAGTTATGGCCCATAGTCATGCCAGGTTATGCTAATCCTTGAATTCAAATACAGTTCCAGATTTTGATCTTTGGTTTATCATAACTATACCCGTGTATGATTCACCAAAGTGTTAAAGCTCAACTACATTTGATATTCGTCACTTAGGTTTTCCTTCCATATTAAACACTAGCCATGAATACTGTTTACAAGGCCATGACCCGAACTCTTTCACTGTCTGTGTCTACGAAAATGATGCACTTGACACAATTATTGATGAGCTGTCTGAATGGGCTCTGTGTATAATCAAGGACGTTAACCGTATTTCAATCTGGGCTTATATGTCGCAAGATCAGATTAATCCAAAGAAAACCTAAACCATACAAAACTGTATTAGGACCCAAACGCTAAACTATTATTTGACAAAAGATATTATTTCAGTTTACATTTGATTATTGAAGTAAACAAGTCTGAGCTCCTGATTATGCAACCTTGTTCCTCATACTGTTTCCTGTACCAGCCACTATGATTGCGAATAGTGTCTTCAACTCAAACCAGTTAATTTTATAACAACACCCTTTGGAAAATAATATTGACGACCAAACACTGAAATGTCGTGAACCAGCAGACTTCAGTACAGTGCCGTAATGAAATTGTTCAACTGATTGATAGAATACATATTTCATAACATAAAACAACTGTAGAGATGATCATCTAGTGACATGGATGTAGAGGCTGTGCATGATGATGACAATGAGGGCTCCTTTTTTTGGTACTCATAAACACACTTTTTAAAGTAAATAAATACATTTGGTTATCCGGTGACGCTGTTAGAATGATAATAGGCTTCTTCTTTCAGCATACACAGAAGTTCTAAAAATACCAGTACATAAATGTTTGCCTTATGTTTGTTGGTTGGTTGTTTACTGCCGCGCTCAGCAATATTCCAGCCATATGACAGCAGTCTGTAAATAATCGAGTCTGGACCAAATGATCCAGTGATTGACATCACGAGCATAGATCTACACAAATGGGATATGACAAGTACTGCCAGATCGAAAGTAAATCTTCTGCTCAGTTACACAAGCTTTGTCTCATTCTTATCAAACCACGGTACCTATGTTAACTCTGCATGCAGGTAATGATGATTTGGGCAGGTAACATTACATTTTTAAGGCGAATATTTTAACTTAAAGCTTTTCTCTATTGCCTGGTTGTTTATAGAAGGTAACCATCGTGATGTAAATGAATCTGTTTATCTGGTTACAATATGAATAGCAATTTTCATAGTTTCACTGTTCAGAAAATGTTATAGAATAGAAATACTGTTTGCTTATCTAAAATGTGGGAGGTTCCAGGACAAACAGATGGTGCTCTGTTGTCAGGAAGTCTCTTAGTGAATATGTTGAGGCATTAATCTCCAGCGTACATCATAACAAACCAGGACAACAAGTAGTGTGCAGTGAGTATGCATCATCTGTGGTAAAGAGCGTACGTTAAGCCAACATGCAAACTATACGTATCCACCATGATGTATCAGACATCAATCAAACATGGTGATGTAACTTGTACTGTGTGCCACACCATAGTACTATCAACGCGTGTCGGTCTGACGTTGATTAATGAACAATTTGCATACTCGTATATGCAAGAGGCCGACGTATGGTTCTCAGTAGGAAGTGACAACTTGGAGACGATGGCTTGCAGTATATACAGTTTTACTTTATACATGTAGATAGATACATACAAATGACACTATGTGCCAAGTCAGCACATGGTGGTAGTGGTTGGTGTCTAGGTGCCCCGGAGCACCCAGCCTAACCCTAGCTAGGCTAAGGGTAAGACCTTTTTTTCTCCTTTCTGGACCAAGGCTTATATAGCCAAGGTCACCTGACATTTAGTAAGTAATAAATATAAATGTAAACAGTAAATCATCAGTGACATACTTGCACATCCTGTTCAGGATGGCAGACAGTCGATGTACACATAAATGGGGATTAACAAATAGGATTAGCATCTATTAAATAACAGCAATTAAGTGTTTCAAGGCATATAGATGTCATGGCTCCAGGGTAATGAGCCTTTGCAATCAAATGTTCTTCAGACAATGGATGTCGTAAATCAGTCGCTATGACAGTACCAGACAGCAGAGCTCCAGATAAGCTTTTGGTGTTGTGGGTATTTTACCCATGCATTTTAAAATCATTGGGTATCAGTAGTTCTATCTGGGTATTCAAATTTCTGTTACCCACTAGTTTTTACATATGTGGGTATTTAAGTTAAATATTTAAAAACACTTCATCTAGTCCCTGCAAACTGGTGTCGTGTGGGTTCGAGAGCTTTATAGGACTCAAAAATACCACGATACTTCCACAAGAAAGTGTGATGGCAAATGATCATGATGTAACTGTCATGGTGGAGTTTGGCAAGGTTGACGGAATGTCCGTTTATAATTTCAAAATAAGTTGCTGATTTGCTAATCGAAAACGCAGGGTTACTTCACAATATTTTGATGATACGCACAAGTTTTGTTTTTGTAGCGAATCTGTAATGTCCGTTGCGTATTTGATACGCTTGGATATTATTTTACTGCGTATTTCTGCATTTTGTATGCGTATTTTACGCAGATACGCAGCTTATCTGGAGCTCTGCAGACAGTAGAAAACATGTCATCATTGGTCCCGTGAGGATTCTAGGTTAGAATTGGTCTTCAGCAATCTATGCTGGTCGCAAGGGGCGACTAACAGGATCGGGTGGTGGTGCTCACTAACTTGGTTGATGCATGTCGTCGTATCCCGTGTAAGTTGAAATGTTTAAAATGTTAAAATGTAAATATCAATACCAATGTTCAGTCCAGGTGAAGAAGATGCAACACATGGGGAGGTGCAGAGGGGTTGCTGTCCAACCTCAGTATGCCGACATCGGTGTGGCCTGTTCTCCCTGGAATGGCTGCACCCCGTCGTAGACGTTAGGGTGGCTCTTCCTGGCTAGCTGGTTAATCTTGTGTTGCAACCCTTCAAGATTGTTGTTTGTCCGATGACAAGAGTTGCCAATTTAAAGTGGTACCAGACGTCAGGGCTGAACTGCCTCCCACTTCAACCCGAGATGTTGTGACGTAGTCCATGAAGGTGATGATCTTAGGTCCTTCAGGGCTATTGGCAATCGTCTCCACCCACACAACTTCTACCTTGTCGAGTGGCACAAGGGGCAGGGCAGCAGGGGTGCAGGCTAAAACGGCACCTCAGCAAAACGTCACCGATTTCTCTGGCGAAAACGGCACCGCATTTGGCGGAAACGGCTACTATGTGACAGGCGAAAACGGCACCGCATTTGGCGGAAACGGCACCTCTATTTCTAATAATGATAAGAACGATTTATGTACAATGTAGTAGTATATCTGATTTATGTTATTTGTTACATATTATTTGATGTATTTACATGTTATTTCCAGTTGTTCACAGATAATTACATACATTCACATATATACAATATATATTTTATGGCCGCTGTCAATACACTGAGAGGAAAGGCCTTGCGAGCATGGTATAAGATCAAAAGTTCACTGAAATCAACTTCTCAACTCCCAGCAGACATTCTCATTCGCTTGTATAATGTCTTAATTGTACCCATTGCATCATATGGAGCCGAGGTATGGGGCTGCAGTCTTCTAAGACCCCCGCATGAAATGTATCATAACTGGTCTAAACAACTATGTAATGAGATCACTATCAAAATAGCAAAGCAGATTCTAGGAGTTCTTTTTGTACTGTCCAAATTATCAGAATGAAAGACAGATACTTCTTCGAAGACTAGACTTACAAAACTGCTAAAATGATAATAAAATCTTAGCAAATATCCTGAACCCCTGTCCTGAAAGAGGAAAATA